TGTACGAGAATGCTGGTTAGTATTGCTTTAGACTTTCACTTCCCCTCCCTAAGACGACTAACGTGATGCAAACAAAACTATGCATAGCATATGACTCAAAATATATTGTCTGGCGTACAGCTTAATACATACAGCAAGCTCTGCAGCCTGTACCACGAACGTAGAGGTGGGCGCGCGGTAGGGTGACCCCGTGCGCATCTTGCTCTTTGCCGAGTCTGTGTATTCGATGCACCGGCCCAAACAGCAACTACTCACAGACTGGAAACCCAAAACGCGTGTTGGCAGAGATCGCTCGGTAGCGGAAATACCGTCGCAGCTGGGCCCCGCATATTGCCGAAACTCCAGCTCCAGCCGCAGACGTCCTTGGCAGTACGGCGCTGCGTTGCACTCCTAGTGTGAACCTGATAGGCAAGATGGTCAGCGGTGCATGCGCTCCGTCCCGCAGCTCGCAGTCGCTGAAGTCTCGCAGTAGAGGCTGTGTGACTGGTCCGTGCCAGGGAATCAGTTCGGTGTGCCTCACGGCCTCGAGGCTTACCGCTGAGATGGCGGAGACCCTGGCCTGAAGAAGACCCTCGGTTTGCTGCTCACGAGCGGCGCTGCGATCGGAGCCGCCTGTTCGCGGACCATGCGGTTCTCATCCCACACCATGTCCAGCAGCAGCTGTTCCGGACGGACCCAGTACCCGCTACGCTGGAGGACTATGTGTGCTGTAGCAGGTCGCGGAGCACCGCGATGCTCCGGAATAAGCTGCGTAAGCCAAAGGCGCACCCGCTCTTTTGCCGGATGGCGGACCATACCGGCACATAGTGGCCGACCACGCACTGGACGAGGTCCTTGAGAGCGCTGCTGGAGGTCTTGGTAGAGATGTGAACTAGGAGCAGGCGAGCGGCCAGTGTCAACCATCTGAAAACAAAAGCGAATATATTAGAACAATTTGTTACGAACTGAGCATTAGATCATGCAAAAATTATTGTGCCCCTCTAGTGGATGTAATTATGCCGATATCCAGAGTCCTTAAATGTGACGGAATACACATAAACAAATATGCTAGTGAGCATGAACCAACCAGCAAATGATCCGACATAACACGGCACAAGGTATGATAATAAGTAAATACACAACAGTGGGCACACGAAATATCAATTGATACGTGATGAACTTTAAGCACTCATTGGTATAAATTCAAGGATAATGCGTTTTCATATTCATCTGACATGGTTTGATAGTCCGATTTGCCGCTGGGCCGCCACATTTCAGACAGGGCCGTCTTGAATGCCGAAGGCCAGAATGTACAGCAGCTGCTGGCTGGATCTCAGCTGCTAAATCAGTTCGACCGGCAGGTTTGGCGCGGGCCCCGACCTAGGCCTGAATGCCACAACGTGCACGGACCTCTCCTGACCTCAGACCTCACAATGTGCCCAGACCAGCCCAGCCCAGACCTTTCCTGACGTGCCCGGACCTCACAATGCCCAGACCTCTCCAGCACAGGTCTTGCCGAAGGGTCCTTCGATCCCGCGGTCGTGCCATCCAGGTTCAGCAGCAGATGGAGGAGGTTCAGCTCGTTGCCGTGCAGCTGGCAGGTGAACCAGCGTACGGGGGACTCGGTGGCCAGCTCAGACAGTCGGAACACGTCGCCCATCGTTTCGGTGTTGACAGCCGTGCCATCGCAACCGAGCACATTGATGCAACCATCGCACTGCGGGCTCACGGCGTGTAGCTCGTTGAACAAGTGCAGGGAGCGGCCGAACTTGGACGTAAAATGAGACACGTGGTGGCTGCATGGCTCAGTGATGACAACCACGTGTTTTTTGACGGCATTCTTGGGATGATGTCAATTCCTCTCCATCAACGTTGTCACGTATCGCCCACAGTTCCCTGATTTATACTGTCGCGGTCTTGAACATGGTATTAGCGAGATTCCTCCTCGATTCGCTCAGCCATCTGATGTAGCTCAAGGCTTTCCCGAAGTCGGCAGTTGGTGGCGGGATAGTGGAGGCGCGTGACCTATCACAAAAATTGTTCTGCGCGACCATGTAGCCTTCGACATGCTTATGCACGTAATTGTTTGAAAGAAATGTTTCAGTACCGGCAAAATTAAACTAATAAACCCATATCTCCCACAAAAAAACACATTAACTGCAAATTAACACCACAATGATGCGTTAGCAATAAAAAACTTGAACCTAACCCGGCTTGCTAGAGCATTTTCATAACTGCACAGCTTTGGGTTTTACCAAAAATTAATGTTTCTTACGAGAAAGTCGGTTTAAAAGCTGTTTGGCAATGTTTTGCTGGTGCTTTCATGACATCTATTTCATACTTAATCCACCAAGTACCAGTAGTGTGGAAAGTGACAGCTTTGAAGCGTATTATATGATGATCCCAGTGTATAAAATAGGTGGCGTTAGTATCGAATACGGTTTTCTTGGCCTGTCAAAAAAACTGTTCTCGACCCACAAATATCAACAGTGGTGCGGTGCGATAGACCTGAAAGTTTGTCATTAATCCGTGGGCCAAGGAAAAACTTTGTCTCAGCTGATTCCAAGAGACTCGCCCCCTCGATGACACACCCTAACGTACATGGTGTTAAAAACATATTTATCATAACAAGCGTGTTCCTTTATTATTGGAAACGGTGCACGTGCCGCAGAACATCAAGCAGGCTAGCTTCTCATACAACACGGACAAAGGGCTCTATTGAAGATATTGAAGCAAGCATCATACTTATAATCATTGGCATACATTTTACGCAAAAAGACTGCCCCATGCAGCAAAGTTCTCTTTTTAGTGAATATGCTCTTCAATGCGTCATGATTTCAGTACGTCATCGTACCTTGCACAATATTGATTGAGAGCTAACTGACAGCCGCTATATCTGGAAATGGCGCTGACGAACGCCAGATATGAACGCCTCGACAAGTCTATTTTTCTTGGCCTTGATCGCCGCATGGCTTATGGAATGACAGGATTTGAATGACGTTATTAGGACGTCATGAATGCCAAGGTGACTTTGAAATACTCTCCCGATATACATTTCCCCATCTTCGCGGGCGTTTAGCCCAAAAACTAGACGGGCTTGGCTTTTAGATTTTAAGAAGAGCAGGATTTTGAACAGCACCGAAAAGTCTTCGAGAAGTCCAGTTCAGTTCAAGCCCTACATAAATGCGGAACGCTCCCTTTAAATGCGCCAAGCGAGTGGCACGCTTTCGTCTTCAACTGGCGAGGAGATTGAAAGTAAAAATGCTGGCTAAGACAAATGGAGCGCACGCCTTCATCTCTGAGGCCGACTGTCGGTGAGAGGCACTCATCTCCGGGGCCGACTGTCGGTGACTGGCACTCATCTCTGGTGCCGGCTGCCGGTGAGTGGCACTCATCGCTGGCGCCGGCTGCCGGTGAGTGGCACTCATCTCTGGCGCCGGCTGCCGGTGAGTGGACCACTCAAATGCGATTTAGCGGTTAAATCGTTGTTTTTTTTCACATCGGAGCCGACTGAGCCGTGCCAGCGGTCCGGTCACTGACGCGAGCAATCCTATCACTGACGCGAGTCATCCGGTCACTGACGCTATGCATAGTGCGAAAATGATTCCGCGAGCAGGCGGGTAGGGACCCGCCGGCTCGTCAGCTCTCGGATGAAACCGGCTACACCCTTCGCGAAACGCCGAGCCGATGTGGTGCACCAAGGTCGATGACAATGAGTTTAATAATGGAAAGCGTGACGCCTTGCGTCTGGCATGGCAATCTCAGCGACTCTGCATTGGCGATGGAGATAACGGAGCATTGCGACAGAGGGCTGAAATTTTGATTCCGCGACAGAAATCTGTTAACATTTTCAGCCATTCTGTTCAAAAGAGTCTGTGGTAAGAGTGTTAGTGGAGCAAAAGATGCGCGTACCTCCCCAGCGACGAACAGCAGCTTCGAGTCGAACCGCGGTGAGGAACCGTAGCTTTTTCTCAGAACACCAGCATGAAACACAACCTTCCCATATACTGCATAGCCAATCACAACAATGAGTCAGCTGCGCTTTATTTCAAAGCCGTGGTCGCGTGAGTCATGCGCCGCGTGCCCGAGCAGACCGACCGCCTGCGCTTGCGGGGCTCGGCCCGATTCCAAGCCAATGCTCGAAGCCAGATGCCGCTCAGATTTCGTAACAAGCTCCTATAATATCCCGCGGACCCGTTTGACTGGTGTGCAGCGCCACACCGCCCTCGACCGCAAATAACACACAGTGTCTGCCGCTTGCTGTGAGATGTAGGAATAAAGCCGCCACAACAATGCCGAACGATCCAGCGCACGTTCCACAAAAGTCGCGAGTCGCGCAGATCGCTCTTGTATGGGACAAGACACCGTTTTCCATCCGTTGTTGTTGTTTTTTGTTTGTTTTTTTTGGGGGTTATGCCTTTCGAATACTTGTGGTGAGTGCCCTAGCGCGACATCTCACGGTCTGTCAGTGTTCTCTGCCTTGCGTGACCTCTCACAATATGTCAGTGTTCTCTGCCTTGCGTGACCTCTCACAATATGTCAGTGCTCTCTGTCTTATGTGACCTCTCACGGTCTGGCAAGGTGCTCTGTCTTGCGTAACCTGTCACGATCTTGCAGTGCGCTCTGCTTCACGTGACTTCTCGCTATCAGTGTGCTCTGCCGTATGTGACCTCTCTCTAGCGATGCTCTCTTTCGTACGTGATCCGTTACTGTCTACCAGTGTTCTCTGTCATCGATATGGCGCCCATGCGGCTGTTCGTGATAGCTTCTTTTTGGTAGCCTGCTTGTTGGGATCAGTTTGTGACGGCTTGCTAGGATGCCTTGTTTGGAAAGGTTTATTTGCAGGGACATGTCGTGGTGATATGTTGCGTTGACCTGCTCGTGGCGACCTGTTTGTGAGGACCTGTCTGTGATGATCTGTTTGTGACCTGTTTGTGATGGCCTGTTTGTGACTCTCTGTTTGTAATGACCTGTTTGTGACGACTTGTTTATATTGACCTGTCTGCTTTGACCTGTTGCAGGGAGGATGACCAAGCGGAGGACGCCCTGCTGGCAGTGATCGGACAAAAGGGAAAATGGCAGCTGATTACCTTCCTCGTCATATCACTGCTAGGTCAGGCCTGGAGGGTGGTGGCCGGGGATGCAAGGGAGGATGTTCAACTGCCCTGTTGAATGAATGTTAGGAAAAAATCCTGCACCAGATCGTGCATGCCTTTTTGGTGTAATGTATGACATACTCTGCGGACGGAGCAGCAGAGCTTACTGAGCGTAATAACTTTCTTACATGTACTGACTGCGCAGTGAGCTCATGGAGTAGTTGGCTTCGTGGAACGTTGTCCCCCGGGTCTGTCTCTCGGCCTGAAAGGTGTCGCAAAAGTGCAAACATGCGGGCAGGCAAGTACGGTACTGAGTTGTGCATTCTGGCCCGCTGATCTCAACCGTAGCTGCCCCATGGCCTTGGAGAAATGTGCATTGTTCTCTAAAACACGTGTTGTGGAGCGTTGGCCACGTCTGTCTTGGCTAGCCAAGCTGAAGTTCAACATGGTATCCAAATATTATGACGGTGGATAAGTGGCCGCTGCCGACAGCTGGAGCTGAGCTTTGGAATGGGAGTATTTTGAATATTCATATGGTCGACATTCTATCCGGATTTTGTGAGCATTCGAGGACCAGAGTCAGAAGCTGGGCTATGACACTACCTCCCCTTAAACAGGCAAAGCTGTGAGCCATTGTTCCCAGCATGAAGAACCTCTCGGCTTATGATAAGGACTTGTCTTGTGCCTTGTCCTCTTTAACTTCGACGCCATCGGCGCGATGTTTCGCCGCTTGGTCAACCAGGGCCAATTTGTTTTCGATGTCACCGCATACTATGAAAATATGGTGTGGCTCCCCCCCACCCCCACCCCCACCCCCCCCACCCCCACCCCCCCCCCCCACCCCCCCCCCCATTGTCTAGTCCGGTGACGATACCAAGCCAGGCACGGTGATATACATATATATGCAATATAATGTATATATATATATATATATATATATATATATATATATATATAACATGATGTATGCATCATGGCACATGAGGAAAAGAAGCGACGATTCGGGGCCAAGTTTAGGTTGCAGGGTTTCATAGCGTGCATGGAGCTAGATGAGATCCGCAGTTTTTAAGACTTGCTAATTCTTTAATTACGAGCCGGTGCCGCAGATAAACAGTCAATGTTTTGCGAGAAAACTGCCTTATCCGTAGGCTGGGAACTCTGTGGTGCCGAAGAGCCCGAATGTCCGTGTGAAATACGTGACAGACAGGTGGGTGGTTCGGGACAATACGGTGCTTCAGGGCATGTGCCAGAAGAGATGCACCTTGTGCGCGGCAAATCTCGGTTGAAGCCAGGGCAGCCTGAATCATTATGCGTGCCAGAAACTGTCTTGGAGCATTGGTCTACGAAACCGGATCAAAGAGCATGCGATCGATGGAATGTTGGCTGTCGCTGCCAACAACAAGTCTCTAACCCATTTGGTGTACATTTGCTGAGATGCGATGCTAATGTATATCCTTGTATGAATGAATGGCTTAGAAGAAGGGAAGGCAGGCAAAGAAGTCGTAGCGGACGAAGCCGTGCTTTCTAAGAGACGAGAACTCTATAAAGAGAGCACCAAATGATAGCAAATTGCCTTCTAGGTATCTGCAGTGTAGAAAATCCTTTGGAGATTTTTGAAGCGGTTCAAATCCTGTAGTGCACTGAAACGGTTTCTAAATTATTCGAACTTTTCGAAGGTGGAGCGCAGTAAACACTGATGAGCAACACTCTTACGCCCGGATGGCCAACCTCGGGTACGACCACCTCACGGCCAACCACAGCAAGACCTTCAAGTTCCCTGACAGCACAAAGACCTACATCGTGTGCCAAACCAACCCAGCAGAGTGAGCGAGGCGCGCCGGCCGAGTCGCAATGCCCGGCCCTTGCCAACATATTACGTCACGACTACAGGAGCCGATGAGCGGCGTGCATTCAATATCCCATAATATTTGACAAGTTTTTTGGTTACGTTTGAACTTGTTCAAAGGTCAAAAGCTCCACAGAATTACGGTATCAGTCTTGCACGGTAAATCGTTTATATTAATGTCCGTCAAATGGCAATAAATGCAAGGAATTTCACCTCGTTGCGAATTTGTGCATGTGTTCCGCAACCCAAATTCGTTAGTGCATCCTTAGATGGCGCCTAAGCTGCCTGTGACAGTTTCAGTGAAAAGGAAGACGGGGAGCGCCAAACGGGAGCAAAGAGAGCGATGTGCTGAGAAGATCGTGCAGGTTATGGAACATAACGGCGGGTCCCCAAAATGATGGAAAAGGCAAGCCGAGGCTTGGCATGTGTCACTCACCCCTGCGCGACACCCTACATGTGGAATTGAAGTTGAGGTCCCCCAAATTCATATGACATAAGTCTTCAAAGCAAGCGAAAAATCCTTCAGTGTGTGCTGATAAGATTTTATTGAAACTGAACTTTGGCCGGCAAGTCGTGACCCTGTTCTCGTTCGTTCTCACACAAATACACTTTCCACGCGGGCGGCGAGGTGAACGGACAGAACTACTTAATTTGAGGACAGCAGCGCCCTATCCCATGGCCCTAACGTCCAGGTGCGCTCCAACATGGGACGGATAACACCGAGGTCAACGTGTGGTATCCTGGGACCGGAATATCCTCGGACCAAGTGATCAAACTTGACTTTTTTAAGCGAGCGTTGCTTCAGAAGAGACAAGCGGTCGCGCGCTTGCCTTGCTGCGCTTATTTTTAGGATGTGGATATTGGAATTAACCATGTTTTGCGGTCGCATTTACGCCTCTTCGAGAGTTGACTGGTACCAGATGAAGATCCTGCCGAATTTATCGGAAGACCCCACGACCATTGTGGAGGACTCCGGATCGACCAATAGTATCTGGGCTGATTTACATTTAGGTCCACATCGACGGCGTAGGCCTGCGATAAAATGCGTAAAACCAATGATCAAAATTGACGGCTACTGAGCGATTGAAGGTGCCGCGGCAGGCCAACAAAAAGGCCTCCTTGAACAGTGCAGGGCCCTAAAAGCAAACGAGAAGAACCCAAGATCAATGTCTTGGGCGCCTGAACGATCGGAAGTGCCCCGGCAGGTTAACATAACTGCGGGCGTCATGAACAGGGCTATAGTGGACGGCTTCGGCCAGAGCGCAGGGTCCCGAGCAAACGTGAATGCCCAAAACCAGCGTGCATGAATTAATGCCCTTAAACGATTGAGAGTGCCTTGGCACTGAACGTGTATGGCCTCGGACAGTAGCTTAGAAGCCTTCGATCAAAATTAAATGTTCAAGACCATCAAAGCGGGCCCCTGTGCGATCAAGAGTGTCCGGGAAAGTACAGGAAGGGCCCGACAAGAGTGAAAGGGTTTCCGCAAATACATGCAAAGGAAAGGTATCCTAAATCAATGTAGAGTACCCGACACCATCGAATGACTCTGTGCGTTAACAGATTTGGGCCCCAGCATGGGTGTCGATTTCTCAAAATGATTGAGGGGGCCAAATTCTTGAAAGTCACTGTAAGAGGACATGTGCAAAAAACTTCTCGAATGTACTCCACGTATGTCGTGGTTTCTGACTATCAATCATAAGTAAGTATATATATACATATATATATATATATATATATATATATATATATATATATACAAGAATAGTGTCCACAATATGTCCGGCATTCCATCCGTGCACATGAATCTTCTCCACCTTTCAAATTTTTTTACATATGTATTTTCGGTTGCTCCGGAGCAGGGGTGCAGCCTGAGCTTTGGCGAGGGGGCCACAGGGTTGACAAACGGCCCCTGAGAGTAGCAGGGCCCCCCAAAATTGCCGGATACGGCCCATTTGTTATTGAGAACATGTTTTTCTTGCATATTATATATATATATATATATATATATATATAGCTTTTGTAACTGGAGTATAGACCAGACGACACCGCGAAATCAATTCTGCATTGAGTTTATAGTAAATAAACTGACAAGATCATGCGATGAATGACTGCACAAAACAGATTGTTGGCGCTCTTCATTTCACGTTGATTCATTGGACTTTTATTGCACCGATAGAACTCAGAAATTTTGCCAGAATTTTGATTTGGGTTGCGCAGATACAGAAAGGATTCCTCGAATGTAGGTCGAGGATGAAAAAATGTGTCAACAATTCGCACTAACAAGGCTTGGCCATGTTTATGTGGATATGTTTAACATTCAGCCAGAATTGAGAAGCGGTACAAATAATGTAACGTAGTTTTGAACATGCGCGCTCGCATATCCTAGCAGCAAAAAAAAATTGATGCCATGCGCTGCAGTCTCCATAGGCCGCCCAGCGTCGGCTCTGCGGCTAACATGAGGTTGTGGCCAGCAAGTGACGAAAATGGTTACGCATCTGATAGAAGCTTTGGGACACCAGAATCTTGAATACTTGGATCTTTTAGAACTCTGAAAGCTCTAGGACTTTTATTTATTTTTCATTTATTTATTTATTTGTTCTATTTATTTAATTTAAAATTTAGAGATAATCCGGGCGTATGTTTAACGTGTGCGGTTTTTAGATTGATGGCAATAACGTATTGGTACTTACAGCACCGCGAAGTGCTGACGTCTGGCGGCTAAACTGGAAGGGTAAAGGGGTAACGCCTATTTTTCGTGTTGCTGTGATTGTTAACCTGTCCAGAGGACATCCTCAAAGATATAAAAAAGAAGTTCGCCCCGTGTTACATTGTACTGTGCGAAGTAATTTTGAAAGGCATTCAGAAACATTATTTTACGATGGTTATCGCTGCGCGTTCGGCGCCCGCCCCCTGGCGTTAATTGTAGTGGCCAACGTCGTTCAGTTTTGCGAAAACTGCGAACCAAGCCTTCGCTATCCTTGCTACTCGTGATTACGAGAGTGTTGTTGGTTCTTAATTATGCACTCAGATGTGGCGTTATATGTGGCGTTGCCAGCTCTCACCCTGTCGAGAAGGGCGGACACCGCGGGGAATCGAACCCCGTATCTGCACAGTGGTTAACGCAGGCGCGTTAACCACTACACTATCGGCACCCGGCGCGCAGGCTCAAACTTTTTTAACGGTGTTTGTTTCGCTTGTCGATTACGCAAAATCATGAACTTTCTCAATGGGGTATGGGATGATCTTGTGCGTTTCGACCCGATTTCGGCCCACTCCGCTCAACATCAGTGAGACCCCTTACTTTTTCCGGTAAAGGGACCCCCTTGGGTACAACACTACGGGGCACACTGTTGTTCCCGGTCAAGGGCGGCAGGGCCACTGTGCCCCACCGTGGTGTGTTTTTTTGGCATCATTTTGGCGAAACGGGGCGGCATTCCCTGGCAGATCCAGAGGCCCTTAGAGGGATACATCACATCGCATTGGTCCGCTCCCTGACGCAGGAGGCCGTCTGACCCACGCAGTTGACGCCGGATCGACGCATGAAACGTCAGTAACGTAACAACATCCCTGCTCACCGGGGGTGGTCAAATAATTAGCACATAGACTCCGGTCGGGCTTGACGGGCTCACGCTGGAATTAGGTTGGAGTGCCCACCGCTCAGTACCGGGGGCCCTGACTGGCACAGAACTCCCACATTATACTAATGTGAATACTTGTCATAAATTATTATCTTTCCTTCAATTGTCAGGGGCCCGACCAACACAAGAGGCCTTATGCCATTCGGGCTCCCGTCCCCGTCCCTGTTGAACAAATACCCCCCTGACCGATTCGGAGCCCCTTGTTGACACAAAATGCCCTATTAGTCACAGTGGGCCGCTGAACCATACAGGGGCCCGACCAATGTAAATCGCGGGCCTCGGCCTTGTCCCTGCTTAGGAAGTGGGCCCCGAGAGTTCAGACCAACACGGAGCCGATTGTTCGTTGTTGGTGATGTCTGGCCGAAGAAGAGGAACGCTCTGTCTCGGGGTCCCTATCGGTGCAAAAAATCATCAAACTGACATTTGAGGTCACGGCCCTATGGTTGGGGGTTCTTAATGTGACCTACAGCCAGCCCCTCGGACCCTTCAACCATCAGATCGCGCCCTTGATCTTTGGTCTCGAGAGACCCTTCAACCCCTCTTCGCCCCCCCCCCCCCCCTCCTCAAACATCGTTCCGACTCGGGGCCACTTGCCGCCACAGGACCTCTGTTTGGCACTGTGGCCCTTAACTGACACAGGAGCCCCTCATTGTGTCAGGAACCCCGAACATTGCAAATCGCGGGCCCCGATCTCGTTTTTGCTTGGGAAGTGGGTCTCAAGGGCTCAGGCGGACGGGAGCCGACTGTCACGTGTTCTTAGTCTCTGGCCGACTTAGACACCCGCATTGTCTCAGGGTCCCTCAAACGATGCAAGAGGATCTCTGATTGATATTTCAGGTCACGACCCTACGGGCCGCGATTTCTTATGTAACCTACAGCCAGTCCTTCGAGCCCTGATGCCCTCCAACCGGGCCTTTTGATTGTCGGTTCCTGTGGGCCGCCCGAGCTCCTCTTCGGGCCTCATCAAACACTTCCTCTGGTCAGCTCGGGTCCCTTGCGAGCATAGGGCTCTCTGTAGGACCCCCCGATGTGGGTCCATGTCAGGTACAAGGCCCCAGGCCAGTGCAAATCATTGGCCTCGGCTTTATGGCCGATTGGGAAGCGGGCCCTCAGGCCCATATCGACACAGAGCCGACCATGTGTTACGGTGGCACCTGACTGACATATAAGCCCATATCGGCCCAGGGGGTCCGCGATCGGCGTAAAGGGCTCTTTGACCGTTATTGGAGGATCCTTTTTCACAGGTTGGGGCCCTGAATAAGACTCCGACCAGCCCTGCATGGCCTTAGACTTTTCAATCGCGCCCTTGATCGTCGGACCCGGTGGGCCCTCTAGACTCTTTTGGCCTCCTCGAACACTGTGTCTGGCCATCTCGGGGCCCCTTGACAACACAGGGCCCATGCTAGGCACTGTGGGGCCCAGAGCAATGTAAATCGCTGGCTCCGGCTTTTTCCCTGCAATGGGCTCTAAGGACCATGCCGCCACGGTGCCGACTGTGTGTTACTGGTGATGTCAACATAGACACCACGACCAAAACATAGACACCACGGCACAGGTGGTGCTGTTATCGACTCAGTGGGCCGCTGATCAGCGCGCAGGGCCCTCTGGCTGGCATTGGAGTGCCCGACCTGCGGGCCGGTACCCCTGAATGGTCTAGCTAGCCTTTCCCTCAAGCTGGACCGTTAATCGTAGGCTCCGAGTGCCTTAAGGTCCCCTCGGAGCCTAAGGGGGAGGCACGTGCTCCCTGTGTCCTCGCCTGCCTGCGCTACCGGCACAAAACGATATCAGAGTCAAGCATACATATTAATAGTGTGATTAAAAGCATGCATCATGCAAGAAAAAGAACGGAAAATGCTCAACTAAGCGCGGTACGAACACGAAACTTTTACAGTTTGACTAGCTCAGTCAGCTGCATTCGACTGAACATTACATCGCGGTTCTCATTTTCTTTGTCCTTTTACATGTAAAGCAATTAGCAGAAATCTTCCATAAAATTGATATGATTTTGATCTCCCACCTGTACTGTCCTGCTTGTACTTTGACTCTAAAAGGTTGGGGAGGCCAAACACACCTTTGGTGGGGGGGGGGGGGGAAACGGGAATTGGGGGCAGTGGCCCACCCAAAAAAATACAAATTGACACCCGTGGGCGCCAGCAACAGTGCAGGGCCCTCCAGGCAAGTGAAAAGAACCCGTGAGCAATGTGAAGGCATTTCGAGCAACCGAGATTACCCAGGCAGGTTAAAGGGAATATTCCACACTTGAATTTGAAGATATGGAGACAAGCATCAGCTACGATTAAATAGGCTTACTTTTAACTATTGATATGTTTGTAAGTGCAAAAGACTGCTTCAGACAGTAAAATTTCACTATTTAGTACATATGCTCTTGAATATTTTATGGTTTGATTGCGTCATGAAACCTTTGTATGATGTCAGAATGGCTGCAAAACTGACGGTGCGAAATTGCCACAGTAGCGGATTGGCTGACTCCATTGTAGCACTTCAACTTGACGAGAGATGACGTGCTAATCGGTGCGTTGCTCACAGAAATCAAACTGAACCAGATGGGTTGTCGACAAGAGCGTAGGACTCTCCATGCAACTTAAAAAGCACCCAAGACACAGTTTGGACGGCCTCCGAGCGATCGAGTGTGTCCAGGCAGGATAACAGATGGGCCCACGACAAGGGCGAAGGGCCTTCTGCAAGTGACAGGCAATTGAAAGGGTCCTAGACCAATGCAGAGGGCCCATGAGCATATCGCGAGCGCATCAGTAGTCTAACAGAAACCAATGTGAAGGGCTCCTGAGCTACCAAAAGTACCACAGTGGGTCTGGGCTAACATATGGGGCCCTGGCTATGGCATATAGAACCTTTTAGGCGCATAGTAAAAGTCCTTGGAGGGCCCCTGATCGATAGATTGTCCATGCATGCTAGCAGATTGGGTCTCGACAACAGCGTAGGGCCCTTCGAGCAAATGCAAATTAGTGAAGGGTAACGCGGAAGGCTCCTTCGGGAGAGGATTAATCCTGTGAGGGCACATATGGGGCCCCTGGCAACAGTGTAGGACCTCTGAACGGTGTAAAGAACCTTAAAATCTCCCCAATTGCCACCATCTTAACCAGAGAATAACTATTTCGTCTGTTCGTGAGCTACTCAGTTTTGCTTGCGACTGTTGTTGGTCGCCCGGAAGCTCAAAGACGTCAAATTGTTCTGCGTTTCGTATTTAAAAAACTACGTTTGTTCGACCGGCTTTGGTCCCTTCGGAGCCTATTATGAGCACCTCCGGGATCCAAGGGAGACATGGTTTATGGCCCCTTCTGGATCCGCCACCGCTAACGATACACAACTGGACATGACTATGCTTGACCTGGCCTGACTTGGCCTGACTGTGCCTGACCAAGCTCTACCCGAAAAACAGCCTGACTTAAACCTGGCCCAACTGTATCTGATCTGACCTGAATTCACCTGATTTGCTCTATCTAACCTGACTCAACTCGACCCTACTGGACCCGATCGGACCCGATCCAGCCAGGCCTGACCTGAGTTGTAACGGTTTGACCCAGCCCGACCTAGGCAGACAAAACCCGACCTGACCTGACCCAGTGTGGCATGACCCAACCCGATTGGAAGCCAGCCGACCCAGCCCGCTCTGACCTGATCTGATGTCATCCGGCTTTAATACCGCCCGCAGGCATTCCGGCCGCCTGGAACATGCTGGCCATCACGTTCCTGGCGCCCCAGGACGTGGACCACTGGTGTGCGCGGCCACCGGCCTTCGCCAATTGGACGGCCGACCAGTGGAAGCTGTACGCCATACCGACCGAGAAGGAAGTGAGCGACTGCTGCCCGCTGCGCTGTACTTACGCTCTGACTTCCGATAGCGCGGTCCAGTCCGAGGAGGCCGTCGAGCTGTGCGGCTGGGGCGGGGATGGAAGTGGCGAAACCAGAGGCCGCGCCGAACACACGATTTGACGGCTCAATTGGTGTGGACGGCGATTGACGATTGATCTGACGGACGATTTGATGTGGTATGAGACTAGCGAGCGGCCGGACGCTCGTCGCGAGCCCCTGAGGAACGTGGCTAGGCTGTCGTAGCCACGCACTCGTGCAATGTTGTGCGTACGCCTCCATAGCTCCTGTTGCGGTGGGTTGGTGCGAGGCAATGACCCGTCCACTGGTCTGCAACGCACGTGCGCCATGTACCCCCGTCCCCCCTTCTCTAACCTGCTCCCAACTGGCGCCATCCTCTCAACAGAGCAAGAAGACGACCTACCAGACCTGTATGATGTACAACGTCAGCTACGACGTGGTGCCAAGCGGGCCTGCGGCGCCGGCCATTGCCCTGGATCAGCTGACCAACGACTCGCTGATAGCGTGCCAGAGCTGGCCCTCGGGCCGCGAGGGCGGCGGCCTCATCACCCACGAGTACGACCGCTCCCGCTTTCCCGACACGGCTGTCAGTGAGGTACTGCTGCAGGGGGGCTCTGCAATGGTGGGGGCGCGCCCGTCTGGGCGCGCCGCCCGCTGTGACTCGCGTGCTAACTGGTAGTAAGTTGGACCACGGCCGTGAGTTTGGCTCAAGTTCAAACGCTTTTCGGTCACCAGAGAGACCTTTCACTGTGGGAATACGGTGACCGTGCGCATGCGCACGATGTCCTATGTTATGGCGCTGGGTGTTCCACGCGCTTTGTACCAGTCGTGTTTTTTCCCATCGTGACCTTCACCAGTTGAGGGCGGTAGTCCGGTGACCTTCGGAGCTCGTGTTCCTCTGTCTGGTGTCCAAGCTCAATAAAGGGCGTATTTGCATGGTATCCTCGGGTAGCTCAGTTTGCATCCCTGTGGTGTTTTGTGATAGTCGAGTGCAACTCATCTGCTGTGCTGTGGCAGTCCAACCGTGTTCGTCTGCTGTCCACAGAAAATCCCTGTGCGTGCGTGCGTGCGTGCGTGCGAGTGTGTGTGTGTGTGTGTGTGTGTGTGTGTGTGTGTGTGTGTGTGTGTGTGTGTGTGTGTGTGTGTGTGTGTGTGTGTGTGTGTGTGTGTGTGTGTGTGTGTGTGTGTGTGTGTGTGTGTGTGTGTGTGTGTGTGTCTGTCTTTGATGCCCTGTGGCAGTGCTTAGTGGCTTGCTGGTGACATCCGGTAGTTAGCGTTCGTTCTGGCCTGCCAACCTTGCCAGCCACCAGTCATCTCACATCCAACGTCCGCGCAACAGAGCACACTCGCATTGCGCTAAGACCCCATTGTATGCACTTGAGGAATATGGACTACGTTATCACAGCCTGGACAGCTGTGGCCAGATACCTGGTCGCCCAGGTATATGCTCAGCACCTGCTTACTGTATGCTCACTGTACTTATGTGAATGCAAGCTCATGTGCTGTGACTTGTTTACGCCGTGTAACCTACAATGGTTTACGTGTTGACTTTTGCGTCAGGGGTATATGACTCATCGTATACTGCATAGGTGCGTGGGTTGACAACTGCCCACCCTGTCTTCTATTTCAGTTCAGCCTGGTTTGTGATAGGAAGGGGTACGTGGCGCACGCGCAATCTACATACATGGTGGGCATTCTACTGGGAGCCGTGCTGGGCGGCGTATGCGCCGACTGGTGAGTGGCAAGCGCTCTGGGCGCTGCCTGTGACGCTCCACGTCGAACCGGACGAGACCGGCGCGTGCTCCACGTCGAACCGGGTGTGACCAGCGCGTGCTGGATTGCCAGTCACGCGACCTTTTCATGTGCACTGTTTATCGTCAGACGTGACGGCATTCACCAGCCTGGGGTGTTTGGACGTGAGTTCCGCCTCATCGGGTATGTGTCGTCACTGGGCGATTCCAACTCTCCGAGCGCGTGACCTTTGTGCAGGCATTCCAGATGGCCTCGGGGCACTTCACCGAAGCGTGTCGCTCTTCTGGTCTCGGCCACACTGAGCCGGCTTCTAAACCTCATGGGAAGAGAAACATGATGTGGGTCATATTTACAGAGCTCGATGCTTGATAAATTTCATGGAATTCGGCGGTGATGGTATGCCCTATAGCGCGGGAGCCGGTGCAACAACTCCGATCGCAGTGCATGCGAAGCGTGTCGCTGGGTGTGTACTACATCGTGAGAACACTCTGAAAATGTGCACATCTAACCGCGCCCTGATGGGGGAGGGACGGCGATGAAAAACACAAATATTTTCAGGAGATATCTATCTGGCATATGCCGTGTCATCGCGCCCAACTTCTCCGTATCTGAAGGGACATATTTTGCGCGTGTTTTGGCTAAATACATACCGATGTGCTCAGCTTTAAACAAGGAACACATCTGAGTAAGTTTCCTGTTGTTAAATAAGTCCTTTTACAGTTCAGGATCGGCCCTTAACATGCCAGAATGGGCCTTTCACAGGCCCTCCAAGTTGGGTGGGCGCCGCCTGCCCCCTCCCCCTCCACCTTTAAAGGTGCGGTCGAGCTGGCTTCACTGCCCCCTCCTCCTTCCCCGTGGCCCGCGTCCTTGGTTATGAAAGAAGGCAAATCAGGGCGAAGGTTAATGCGACATTGAGAGGGACGACTTATTCACTGTGTCAGCGACACCTCCTGGCATAAGAAGTTTGCAGCCCACGAGGAACCATTGGTGGCTTATCAATCATGTGGGTCCTACTTGGTTGGGTTTATAAGACCGTTTTCATGTTTGCGCTTAATAGCTCACATTATCTCCATACACAGCGATAAAAAGATGGCGTTTTCTTGTTGACGAATGTTTGGTCTGCTTTCGTTTCAGGTACGGTCGGCGCAAGACTTTGCTGATTTTCACGGTGACATTCCTGATATTTGGAATATCGGCGGCATTCTCCAACCACGTCATTGTCTTTATGGCACTCAGATTTTGCGTGGCATTCTCCATGATGGCGCTGTTCACTACAGGCTTTGTATATGGTGAGTGAATCTGTTTGGAGGTCGACGTTCGACGACCTTGGAAGAGACGCTCAGCACGGTTAAAAAACATAAGTGGCTGTATTGCAATAGGCACTTTTGATCTTATGTGCATGATGACGCATGTAATGGCATTGAGAGTGCGCAAACTGACTGGTTAGAGCACATTATATCTGGCTTGAATCGGCACCCCAGACAGCTTTCTGTAAAACGCAAACCACGTGCTCGTCCCGAGGCTCACGACACCAGCTCGTCACGAGAGTCACGACACCAGCCCGTCACCAGGCTCACGACACCAGCCCGTCACGAGGGTCACGACACCAGCCCGCCATAAATGACAAGTGGCACATGACTAGAGGGCACATTACAACCACCCCCGTACAATGCTTTTGCCAGACCGGGATCCATCCTGACACGTTTATACCACGAGTGTATTCCACGTACAGCCTATAGGACGAGGAATGCGTATGAAAAAACGTATGCGCAGGGACGCTCTGATTGAGATGCACACCTCGATGCAAACCCCGGGGCGGTGCGTATGCGTGCACCGTCTTCGATGATGATAGCTTTGATTGAGAGCACGCCGACTGCAGCGGTCATATGACCACCCAGCGAACTTGGACCACGGCACGCAGCCTGACCAGCTTTCCCGGCAGCGCTGGAGAGCGTGGGCGGCTCCTGGCGCGCCATCCTCGGCATCTCTTACGAGTACACCTTCGCCATCGGCTTCATGTCGTTGGCTGGCATCGCGTACGGGCTAAAGCCCTGGATGCACCTGCAGCTGTGCATCGTCATCCCTGCCGTGCTCTTCTTCTCGTTCTACTTGTGAGTGGTGCGCAGTGTAGCGGCTCGTCGGCCCGCTTCAGTTTTGTCGCAGCGCAGCTGGTCCAGCACCGGCGTGGGCCACGCTTCTAGCGCGTGGCCGACTGGTGTTGTCGCACTTTCCGGTGCGCATACATATGAGCGTTGGTATACCTACGTCCATGTGTGAACTCATATATACACTAGAGAGCTGAAACTATTATGGCACACTACTCGGCTTCGTTAGCTGAGCCATTTCGCGTTAGAAAGGCTTAATGTACTCGAAAATCGTTTCGTTTGTCTTGGACGTGAGTAGACCGAGCACAATACGGACAACGTTTAGTGAACCATCTGCAATGCAAATAGTCCTACAGAAGTGATTTGAAAGTTCTTTGCATCATCTTGCTGCTCACGTGGAGAGACCAATTGGCGATAAGCTCCATAAAACATGATTATGATCGCGTTACCTGTGTTTGCAGCATTATCCCCGAATCGCCCCGGTGGCTGCTGAGCAATGGCAGGGAGGAAGAGGCTCGCGTGATCATTGAGAAAATATGCCGCACAAACGATCGCCCCTACAAGCCCACCATGGAGGTGGTGGATGCGGTGAGCGTCGGCTTTGAATCATAATGTTGAAAGAGCAAACACGACGCAGGCCCGGCTAGTACGGCGTCTGCCGTCGGGAAATCTGAATTGCCTGCTTAAATCGTGCGGGTGGGCTATGACTGCCAATCGACGCCTGGCATAACAAAACGTTCTTCTCTCAGGTGTCTAAAACAGACGAAGAGACACGCGTGACAATCCTGGATCTCTTCAAGACACCCAACCTTTGTAGGCGGACGCTCAACTTTTATTACAACTGGTTCGTCAACAGCTTTGTGTACTACGGTCTCTCGCTAAACTCGGGCAACCTTGGCGGTGACACCTTCATCAATATCTTCATCGGCGGTGCGGTTGAGATTCCGGCATACACACTCAGCATCATCGTGCTGCTCAAGGGCGGCAGGCGGTGGGCGCTATGTCTGAGCATGGTGATTGGAGGCGTGGCCTGTCTCTGCACCATGATCTTCGAAAAGGGTACGTCCTAAAGGAAAATCTCACGGTTCAAAAAAGGAATAAGGATGCTTTCTGGATAGCGAATCCACTGACGATGGTAGAATAATGTTTTTTTTTGTGTGTTGAGATTAAACCGTGCCCACCTATACGCACGCTGAACTTGTGATGTCTCGACGCCGGAACGATGCGAGCCACTCAACTTAGGGCGACCCGATTGAATGAACTTTGCTCCATTTGCAGTTGTGCATACAAGGCTCACTCATGCGTGCCACTGCTTGCGATCATCGCGCTCGTTCAACTGTTTACGCCGGGTCCATAGCAACCTTATTCCCCTACCCGAGCTTTTCTCAGTCGTCGGTAACCTCGACGATTCAAACACAACCTGCATTTGCACGTTCTCATTCGAACCTCGCGTGTTCGTTTCCTTGGAAGGAACTGTGCCCGTCATCCTCGTCGAGCTTGCTATGACGTCATAACCGTCGCCGTTCTCCCGCAGACGTGTACACGCTCGACTGGCCCATCGTGACGTGTGCCATGATCGGCAAGTTCTGCATTTCCGCCTCGTTCGCCATCGTGTACGTGTTCTCGGCCGAGGTGTTCCCCACGGTGCTGCGGACCACAGGGGTCGGCAGCTCCTCCATGTGCGCCCGCTTCGGCAGCATTGCGGCGCCCTACGTCGCCATCTACGTGAGTGACGGCGGCACCGCTCTGTTGCCTCGTGGACCACTTATTCTGCGCATGTACATGCACTGACCTTGTCGCTCCGCAGCTTTCCACACCATGTTCTCTAGCGCATTTTAGTTTTCTGTCATCGCCTTGCGTAAGGACGTACCCGCTTAATTTTCAAGCGCCGGCCATGACACTGCGCAGAAGTGCACAGCGTTTGGCTAAGCTCAGCTAGCAGTGTTCGGGATCTGTACACGCCAACAGCCGAACTGGTGTTCTGAGTTCTGAGAATCGAGTACCTCAGCGACGAATTTGAAAGTTTTCGCAAAATCATGTGCGGGCAACTAGCACTACAAGTCTGAGCGTGAAAGAGCAGGTTTCTTTCACGAACGGACTACGAAGCATGTTTAAGTCTGGGTGCCGGGTGAAGGGGCATCTTTTTCACGCCTTCTTCTTCCAAGACGCCGTTAGACCTGTCGCTCTATCACACTGCACCCGTCTTGCGTCGAGTGGCACGGGATAATCGCCCGTATTATCCCGCCCCCTCGAGAGCGGCATCCCGGCATCGTGCCGCCCGTTGACCGGTGGCCGGCGGTCGTTCGCAGGGTGGCGAAGCCTACAAACATCTGCCGGTGATCATGTTCGGTGTCACTTCGATCCTGGCCGGCCTGCTGGCGCTCCTGCTGCCCGAGACCAAGGGCAAGTCGCTGCCTGACACGGTCGCTCAGGGCGAGGTCTTCGGAACGTGAGTTTGCGGCGGACGTGGGACAGGGCGAGGTGGGCGGGGTGAGGGGGCGACGGTGGCGGTTCCAGCTGAGTGATGGTATGTGCACAACCCTGGAGAGAGACCGTGGAAGGCGATGGAAGGAGCAGTTCCACCTACGGGAAAAGGAATGACTCGCGACTGGCTTAATCATGATTAAACCGTCTCGTCTACCCCGTATCTTAGCGACCTGAGCCCTCCCTCATCTTTGGGCGTCCCTCTGAAGCGGTGGAAGCTGTTTAGAATGGGAGCCAAATCGAATGTGGTCGATTCAGAATCCGAATGAGCTTTTGGTTGTTCAAAAGGAAGCGCGCAGCTAACATGAGAACAACTTCGTTTGCATATGTATGTGTATATATATATATATATATATATATATATATATGGTTATTCTGGGAGTCAGGAACATAGCTTCCTATTCAGTTGGGGTTTCAGCACCCTCCCCTACCAACTTGTGCTTCAGCCACAAACTTTGGGAAGAGTGGGGCCCAATACGGGCAGAAACCAATTTGATGACGTATTTGCGGGATAAGTTGCGTCATTTTTTCAGTGTTCAGTGTCGTTTTGAGAAACTACGCCCCTCCTGGAGTTGGTGTCTTTTGCTGAGGCGTCCAGGCAACCTCGGTGATTTTGCCCTCTATATCGCATATAAATTGCGTTACGAATGTGCGAATGCCTAAGCAAGTATGATCCTCAAATTATCAAGAGGAATGAATGGTAACACATGCGTCATATTCGTGTCCCATTGTCACTTAATTTTCGCCTTGATAACGTCATATGTTTGACGAAACGGCGGGATGTAAACGACCAATTTTGAGGAAGCCTTTTTCGAGCTTGACCATGGAGCGAGACGCTTGGTGAGAGATGTTAACCGAAGCCAAAAGGACATACTTCTTGAACGCATATCACGCCGGCGTGAGATGTTTTCCTTTTTTATGTATATATATATACATATATATATATATATTATATACCTGTATATAAAATATAATGTATGGAACATTTTCGGAAAGCACGAAGCGGAAAAAACTTTACGGCAAAGACAGTAATCGCTATCATTTATGTAGATGTCAGCGTCTCGATACATTGCGTGTCATCATCAGGACGAGTACAATGGTATGAGTTTAGTCAAGTTACAATGCAATATTACAGCAATCAACCGACATCGCTACACTTGACAACGTTTACAGTTTCACGGCTTAACACGACCTCCTTGCGCATAAACAGGACAAATCGAAAAATACAGAAATCCCGCGGCGAAATATCCTTTTGACTCCGTGTGGAAAAGATAGTCTTATAGCTTGCAAATGATATCCAGACCTCATGGTATTCAATGGCGGCCGTTTTTGATGAAAATGAAGTGAATCTAAAATACAAAGATCGAGAGAATTATTGCAATGGCCTAATACCCGAAAGCTTTCAATGTTAAAGTGAGCGTCAAGGGCAAATGAGTGGTCTCGGTTAGGCGAAGTGTCTTGGTTAGACAGAACGCTACCTGTACGGTCCGACCTTCCAAATGTTTCTACACTCTGCACTTCAATTTAAGACGGATTGAGCCACGTAAGATGCTCCACATGAAGCACAACAACAATTATAAATGACTGGGAGACAGAACATTTGGAAGTTTGTCTTTAACTTATAGCAATATCCAACCGTCATTCGTGTCAACTGTGTTCCAAAATCAGGCAGCACCAACTATTTATTTAGCCTTAGGACCTCATGCACGGTGGGGCTTTGACATATTTTGCATACAGGAAGCTCTTTATTAAGCTATTAATGATTGAAAGTGTAAAGCCGCTTCCCTGACAAGACAAAAATGACATCGGCCGATTAAGTTCGGAATAAACAGGTATATAGTTGGAACTTAAACGGAAAGCTCTGAAATAGCTGTTTTTACACCGCATAATTAAAAGGCGTCGGGGATGAATGAGAAAAAGCTCGGTCTAAGACCAGTGAACGTGGGATTTCAATAGGCGAGGGCTTCAAATTCGCATTGGGACTTCCGAGCTCGCACGTCAAGGAATGGCAAGCCGAATTCAACTTTGTTTTCCTTTGTAATCTTCATGTAAGAATGTTGAGCGTTAATATAAGTGAGAACCAATCAACATGAGACCTGTGCAGAAACAACAGAAAGAAGTCGTCAATATATCGCCAATAGAATGCCGGTTGAAAGTCGGGGGGGGGGGGGGGGAGCAGTTGGATACCTTTAGTTATTCGTGAAATCACTTAAAGATATTGGCAAAGTGGGTCCCAGATGAAGTCCTATCCCCACGCCTTCTTTATGTTTATACAGTTTGCCACTGAATATAAAAGAGTTCATGACAGCGAGTTTTAATAAAAAGCGAAAACCAGCCACACAAAAGCTCATGAACTAAAACGGGACACAAGCATACTATTCACGCAAATGTCTATCGTTTCTCTAAGTGAAAATTTTGTTAACAGGCTCTCAATATCAAGGCTAGCCGTAATCATACATTCCGAACAATCATGTGAAATTTCGTGCGCAAATTGAGTAAAATTAGTCAGAGTATTCAGCAATACCTAATAGTGTTGGCGTCGGTACAATATATATATATATATATATATATATATATATATATATATATATATATATATATATATGTATATATATGTTTATGCTTATAATTATATATTTATATATTTATATATACATGTCTATAAATATGCATTTATCTGTATATATATATATATATATATATATATATATATATATATATATATCAATGCATATGTATATCCATATATAATAATACTTAAAGGACAAGCCCACGTTTACAGGTATTCCACATTCTATTTAATATTACATATGCAATTATAAGTTGCATATAATTTAATTACAGGTATTATTACAGGTAACCTGAGTATTTTCTCATTCATTTCCGACGTTTTTAGGCTATGTGGTATGAAAGATATTTGCAGAGCTCTCCGTTTCAGCTCTACCTTTGACCTCCTTTGTTCCGAACTTAGGCCTCTCTGATCATTCTTTCAGGGACAAGGATTCCCACTTTCGATCGTGAATAGTTAAATAAAGAGGTTTTTGGATGCAAAATATGTGAAACCCACAACCGTTCCGGGAGTCCTAAGGCTAAATAAATATCTGATGTTGCCTTTTTAGGAAAACATTCGATGCAAATGGAACATGAGCTTGCAAACCTGCTACAAGGTTTTTCCTCTTTTCTGACCACCGGAATCATAGAAGTTTAGTTTAGAAGTAATCATAGAACTCTTGTATTGTTGGATCTTTCTTTAAGTTTAAATAGGAGCTCCCCAAATGTTCTGTCCCTGCAGTCACTAATAACCATTGTTGTGCTTCGTGTGGAGCATCTTACGTGGCTCCATCCTTCTCAACTTGCAGTGCAGAGTGTAGCAACGTTTGAAAGGTCGGACTGTACAGGTAGCGTTCTGTCCAACCTAGACCTTTCTCCCATCCGAGACCATTCATTTGCATGTGGCACTCATTTTAACATTGAAAACTTTTCCGTATTCAGACGCTGCAGCAATGCTCTCGATCTTAAGATTCTAGAATCAGTTCATATTCAGCTAAAAAGCCGCCATGAAATACCACAAGGTCTGCATTTCCCTTCCAAATACTAAAGTAACCTTTTTATAAGGAGTCAAGAGGATATTTCGTCGCGTGATTTCTGTATTTTTCACTCTGTCCTGTTTATGCACAGAGAGGTCGTGTCGAAATGTGAAACTGTGGTCGTGTCTTGTCTAGCGATGTCAGTGGAATGTCAATACTTCGCTGTAACTTGACTGAACTTGTACCACTGTACTCGTCCTGATGATGATACGAAATGTATCGAAATGTTGACATAAACAAAAATGATTGAATACATAAACGATAGCGATTGCCATCCTTGCCATAAGGTTTTTACTACTTTCATATTCAGGAAAAGGAATTGCTTTTACCTGTCTTGTAAAACGCTGCGTCTTCGCAAAAGCGCCCACGCAAGACATTCGCCGCATAGTTTCAGCAGACACTGGCGCAAGAGGGCTGAAAAGATCTCTTCTTCTGACGGACATCCATTCCAATCATTTTTTGGTAGAGGTTTCGAAAATGGCCGTGGACTCGAGGGTGTACATCCTGTCATTCCCGCCGCATTTTTGGACCCGTGTAGACCGTACCGTGAACAGACCACGGCATGGATGCGACTGCACCCAGGTCGACATCTGACACCGTGCGAAGGCATCGACCTGTTCCGAAAAGCGTACCTGAAAACAGCGCCTGTCGAAAAGCCTATCGACAGCTTCGGTGCAACAGGCACCGCGCCGACAAACCCATCCGTCTTCACCGAAGAAGGCTTGATCGCCAGCAGCGCAGCATATCCTGCCCGACCGCGCGCTGACCTTCCGTCAGTAGCCATAGGTGCCACACTGAACAACGCTACCACATCCTGCCCGACCGCGCCCTGGCCTCCCGTCAGCAGCCATAGGTGCCACACTGAACAACGCTGCCATATCCTGCCCGACCGCGCGCTGGCCTCCCGTCAGCAGCCATAGATGCCACACTGAACAACACTGCCATATCCTGCCCGAACGCGCGCTGGCCTCCCGTCAGCAGCCATAGGTGCCACGCTGAACAACGCTGCCATATCCTGCCCGAACGCGCGCTGACCTCCCATCAGTAGTGATAGGTGCCACACTGAGCAACACTGCCATATCCTGCCCGACCGCGCGCTGACCTCCCATCAGTAGCGATAGGTGCCACACTGAACAACGCTGCCATATCCTGCCCGAACGCGCGCTGACCTCCCATCAGTAGCCATAGGTGCCACACTGAACAACGCTGCCATATCCTGCCCGAACGCGCGCTGACCTCCCGTCAGCAGCCATATGTGCCATACTGAACAACACTGCCATATCCTGCCCGACCGCGCGCTGACCTCCCATCAGTAGCCATAGGTGTCACACTGAACAACACTGCCATATCCTGCCCGACCGCGCAGCTGACCCTCGCCTCAGTAGCCATAGGTGTCCACCACTAGGAACAACACTACCATATCCTGCCCCGCACGCCGCGCTGACCTCCCATCAGTTAGCCATAGGTGTCGCACTGAGAAAACAATGCCATATCCTGCCTGAGCGCGCGCTGACCTCCCGTGACACTGCCATAGCATCAGCTGTCCCAAGCGCTGATGTTGAATACGACGCAGTTTTTGTGGAATGCATCGCGGAGGTTCTATCGAACGCTACGTCGTGCGAGAACGAGTACGGGGGACACCGTCAGTGGTGGAGACTCCAGGAAGCCATCAGCCGCTGGGACTGTATGGACGCCGTCAGTGGTGGGGGCTCCAGGGACGCCGTCGGCTGCTGGACTGCACCGACGTCGGTCGCGGGTGCTTCCAGAGACGCTGTCACCCTTTGGAAGGGTTCACACGGTGTTGAACATTTCGCGTCCCTGGCCCCGATACCCCAGGCGCGAGGCCAAAGCGCAGCGCTCGATCATCCAACACCGTCGCCTGTGAAAAGGTGCCGGGAAGGGCGGAATAAGGGATTCACACCGCCCAACACGAAGCGGCCAAGGTTAAAGGAAGTGTATTGTGCGCCACCAGCGAATGGCTTCTGGCTGACCTCCATGCTGACGCCTCACGTTTCTGACGAACTGCCGTCTCGTGACGCTCTGCTGATCCTGTCATTCAGTGTTCCGCATGACCGCATGATATTTCAAGACGGCTCAATGTTTCTCCTTTGTTGGAGCGGCAATGTCCATACTGAACGGGTGTCAAGTAAACACACGGTCGCGACGTTCCCATGAACGCTGATGCGCACTGCACTTAATGCACCGTGTCCCAGCGCCTCCAGCTATCAAAACGTCATTCGTGCAATTCGTGGCTGGCTAATACACAGTTCCCTGCGCCGTTGCGGTACCTGTGCGACGCCTCCGACCGCGTGACCCCTGCGCTGGGGTATGCTACCAGTCTGATAGCGTTGCTTTGTGTGCCGTTTGCAGGAGTGCCGAGGAGCAGCCGCTGAACAAACGCTCAACGTCTGAGGACGAGGGAGAAACGCGCCTACACCAACGTTGCGCTGGACACCAAGCTGTGAAGCCGACCTGGCGCGACTGTAGACCATGCTGGCTGGGTCGGTATCCGGCGGACGTCTCGAGCAGCTGACATGCGTGTGTCTCCACGTGTGACGTGAACAACGCCCATCTGCGAGATTGTTATCGGTTCATCATTGAGATGCACTGACATATGCGTCGGGGCGGGGCGCATGGTTCACTAGTAAGCGGACATGTGACATATGAGATGACCGCTTGTTGCTATCCGGCCACGAGATACTGTTCGCGACAGCCACTGGCCAGCACCGGCTCCCCTACCACCTACGTCATCGGACGTAGCGGTCGGCGCACGAACACAGCAGTTCAAATATGTCCATACGTCCAGCCCGGAGTTACTGAATGACTGAGCAGAGTTAGCTTTTATGGTGGTCACTTCCTTGGAAATTTAAGGAGGAATCTGTCATGTTGGTGGACGCAAGCTCATCACGTTTATGCCTCACCGCGTCACAGTATCAGACCGCTCTTAACTACGCACTCTGCTGCTGGGAAGACATGGCGTCGCCTGCCTCTTCCCCTGGTGGGAAGGGTGGGCACCGCGGGGAATCGAACCTCGTACCCCTGGTTTCTCAGACGTGCCGTGGTTAACGTAGACCCGTTAATCACTACATTAGCGCCCCCTCTGGATGGTTTTGGTCGATAGTTATGATTAATCATATACGTATACGATAGTTGTTCCTGAGTTACTGTCACCGCAATTCTGCGGTGTCACTGGCCCACTATTGTCGGAGCGCGCACTCGACTGACTTACCGCATTAATGCTAATGTTGCGCTCGTACGCAGAGGCGGAATAATCTTGTCCATACACAAAGACTGTCCGCTTCAGCTAGAATGCTTCGCCTCAAGATAGAAATTGTGTCTTTGAAAATGGGACATAACATTCTGTAACCTATTTTGGCCAGCCCAGGCCATGCGAAAGGAGCAGTGGCCGTGCGCTGATGAGGGGTGGTGTTGCGTCATACCAGACCATGTACAATTACTCAAGCGTACTTAACACACCTGGCAGCACGACGTACGAATGGACCTGGCAGCGGCGAATTCGCTGAATAAAAATACGATGCACCTATACAAACAGCGCCATGATTTATTTATACGGAGCTATGACGGGACCACGGCTCCAGATACGTGCATATACTTCACATACAATACGCACCATGATTCGAACGTGTTTCAACTTACAAACGGAAAGGAACTGTGTGGAAGGCACGGGCTGAACTACCCCGGCAATATAAATACGATACAAGCTTTCCGTCGAGTAATGCTACAGGACATGCAGCCGTTGGGTTATTGCACTGGTCACATTAGGGAGAGCGGGAAAGAAAGAGGGGTGGAAAGGGGGAGGGAAAGGAAGGAAGAGGAGAGAGAGAGGGAGTGGAAGCAGAGTTCCAATATTCAGCCAAATGGGTGGCAGGAACGTCGATATTGTTTCACGTTATACATCCCGCCTTGAGGCTCACTGTCTGTTGCTCTTCCCCTTGCTCAAAATCAACCCATCAGCATCAAACCGGGCACCTGTCAACCCAGTACCTAAGCGCCTCAGGCTCGACAAATGGGCCGGGCAGGTCAGATGTCTGGGCTCGGGGTCAAAGGGCAACGGATAAAAGACAACGAATTGCGTGCGGGGAGCCGCCAGAAAGTCAGGATTCTTATGGCATGACTTCATCTTCACATCCTGCACACCCTTCTGGATGAGTTTTGGATCACTAAGTGAAATATAAAAAACAAAGAAACGCTGACCAATAATCCAACCTCATGTCTGACTGGTGACAACACTATGCACATTTCAACGTTGTCAGCACGCCCAGATGTCGCTGCTTACACTCATCTGTCATGTTGTGCTAATCATCAACAAAAACTACGTCACTACAAGAGCACGTTGAACGGGCAACGGAGCCAACTCGCGCCGAGCACGCACGTTCCCTGCCGTCGAGCGCGACGTGGCCGACTAGAAGTCTGTGACGCGACCCTTGCGCTCCCAGTCGCCGTAGCGCGTGGGCTCGGGGCCGCGCGGGCCGCCCACCTCGCCGGTGCGCGGGTTCACGCCGTCCGGAAATGCCGCCAGCGGCTCTTTCTCCTGGAACGGGTGGCGGCCCTCATCCAGTTCGTCCAACTTGCCTGCCGGATCAGGCGGTAAGGAGCCAGTCAGCAACAGGCAAAGGCGCGCCAGTCAGCGTCGTGCAATCTATTTTGAGTCATGACGCGGGCGTACATCTGTGGTGATCTGGGTGGTGATCATGCACATAGCATCAACATCGGTTGACAACGAAACTACCGTGTCTCATCAGGCCGGCATTCGGCCACGCACACACACACCACGCACGCACGCACGCACGCACGCACGCACGCACGCGCGCACACACACACGCAGGCACACGTGCACGCACGCACACGCTCTCGCTCTCGCTCGAGCTCTCGCTTACCTGCTTGCTCAGGCCAATGCTCCACGAACTGGAGATAGGGAGACCCCCCCTCCCTTATACCAGTTGCACCCAATAGGCAGCTGCCCCTTAGTGAAGACAGATGGCAGAGACCCCAGTACACAGTGCCACTGACTGGGAGGAGGTCTAAAAATTTGTTTGTGCTTTTGGGCTGTTCAGAAATGGTGAAGTGGAAATCATCTTGTCATTTTGAAGTAACTACAGACATTATCTCATGTGGCAGTATGGTTGTAATTGGAGCTTTAAGGTGCACTTAGTGGCTAATACTATATGGCACTGTCTACCTCACATCCTGGCAGAAAGGATGAGTACTGTTGCCCATGCAGGAGCGAACAAGTGAAGACAGAAACAGATATTTGGCACAATAATGCTTACCAATTGGTGTCTTTGCTTTGATAGGATTGTTGGTTTCAGATTTATTACATGTTCTGTCGCCCTTTTCAACTTCATGTCTCAAGCTGGCTGATAAGTATAGAGGGCATTTGGCTGTGAAGCAAAGGTGAATGCTGCATGAGTGAAACATTACACATTTACATCCTATCTAAGCCATTGGTGCCATAAACATAGTGACTTGCTTGGATAACCTACCTATGAATATCTCTTACACATGTGTTATATAAACAGTTAAGTGTTGTCTACCATTCAGATCAAGCACTACATGTTTTAGTTTTTGTCAGTACCATGAAGCATCATACAGTAACAACCCAAAAGCAAATTTTGAACATATTTCTAGGTGTATCTCACCATTGCGACAAATTGCACCATTAACGAACAGCTTGGCAGCATATTGATGTGCTTGCAGTGACCGCAAGAGGAGAGGAAACATTACTGCTGATGTTCAGGGTTATCCTGCAAAGAAAAATACCAGCATCACATACTCTATCTCTATTATATCTTAAATGCATTCACACAGCAATAATCATGCTGATTGCTGAGACACTTGGCCAGATTAAGCATGTGATTATGAGTGTGATTGAGGCACAGAGTGGTGCTTATATAATATGTCACAAATGTTTATAACTTAAGTGATGGTGTTGACAATTTCATGGCATGTGAGCATGACATGTGATGTGTGTGCTGAGAAGTGTTACAGACATAGTGTCATCCAAGGAGTAACCTTCCTTCACTTGGTCACTACATGTTACATTCACTCTATGACTGGGCCAGTGCAAGTAAATATAATCATAGCTCCAACACATGGTTCAAGGCTTGTCAAAATTTGGTATCAAGGTCGACAGACATGGTATCATGACGTAGACATGGTATCATGGCCGGTAGACATGGTGTCATGACAGACATGGTATCATGGTCGAAATTCGGTATCGCTACCGCAGGCCTCGCACTTCCTAAAACAGTCCGGGATGACTGAATTTAGCCCAAAGTCCACGCATCATGCGTGTGATAATATGCACAAGAATATTTGGAATCCTCCTTACACGCTCACTTTGCTCTATATGTCAATACTGGCAATGAGTGACGCCGCACCCCTCCCTCCCACCGACTCAACACACAGCGTCAATCCGCAATCAATTGAGTGTGCCAATTTATACCAAACCAACACGTTCAGCTGATCGCACGGTGACGTCACAAAACTGAAAAGTTACTGCCAACCTTTCAATAACTTTCCATCGCAAGGGACCGCACGGGACCGGATGAGGCCGGACGGCATAGGACAGAAACAGGCTGGGCGAGACGGAGCTGCACGGAGTCGAACCGGACCGAACGCGTCTAGACGGGACCGGATGAATCCGCATGAAACGTCATGAGACCGGACATGACCGGATCACTCCAGACGGACCGGACCGACCAGGTGGGACCAAACTGCCCCGGAAGTGACCAAACCAAACAGGATGGGAACAGACGATATCGGACGCCACCGAAAGTGACCGATGGAAACGGGGGCCGGACGGCGCCAGGTGGAAAGTGATGACCCCAGACCAGTTGCGGATCCAGAGGAGGGGGAAGCACGGGGCCATGACTCTCCTTGGGGCTTCGGGGAGGCCCATTGGCTCCTAGGGGGCTATAGCCGGCTGAACAGGTGCGATTCTTTAACACGAAACGCAGCAAAATTTGACATCTATAGATTTCTAGGCAACTGCACGAACAGTCGCAAGCGAAAGTGAAGGATGCACGAGAAGGAGAGAAATCTTCAATGATTGAAAAAGGTTGGATTGGGAATTTTAAGCTTCATTACACTGTCTAGGGGCCGTGTGCTGTTTCCGGGAAACTAGATGTCTACTTAGAGTCATTGCGATCGTTAAAGAGCCTTCCACGTTGTCCTTGATTTCTTTGCATTTGCTCGGAGGGCCCTGCACTGTTGCTGGGCCCTTCCTGTTAGCGCGCCGGGGCACTCTTGCCAATTACGGACCCTTTCACGGATTCTTTCCAGTCGCCAGGAAGGTTTTGTGGGCTATACCTGAGGCCCCATATCTTAATCCCCGGGGCATTTTCGGTTGTTCAGGGACCCTTTAGGTGGGTCTCGGTTAACCTACCCACACACTCGCGATATGCTCATGGGGCCCCTACATTGGTCTAGGACGCTTCCGGTTCTCTGTCTTTTGCTTAGGACCCTGCGCTCTTGTCGGGGACCCATCTGATAGCCTGCTTGGGCACAGTCGATCGTTCAAGGATCCTTCGCACTCGGTCTTAAATACTTCTTATCTAAGTGTGGGGGGGGGGGGACTGCACTCTTGTGGAGGGCCTATCTGATAACCTACTCGGGCACACCCAAATTTTCAGGAGGGCCCCACATTTTGTCTCGGGTACTTCCTTTCTGAGTGAAATGCCCTACGCACTCGTCGGGGACCCCATCTGTTCGTCTTCTCGGCCACACTGGATTAGTCAGGGACCCAGTACATTGGGTTTTGGTGTTTGAATGTAGGACACTGCTCACCTGCCAGGGCCATCCGATAATTTGCTCAGGGTACACTTCATCTTTCGGAGGCGCTTCACACTGGGTTAGGATACTTCTTATTTAAATGGAGGGCTCCGCGCTCTTGTCGGGTCTCTCCTGATAATCTTCTCGGGCACATTCCATCATTCGGGGCTCCTCTACATTCGGCCTTGGGTACTTGCTCTTTGAATGGAGGTCCCTACGCTCTTCACGGGGTCCCATATCTTAACTTGCTCTGGCGCACTCGATCATTCGTGGGCCCCCTACATTGGGTATTGGGTACTTCATATCTAAATGGAGGGCCCTGGGCTCTTCACGGGAGCCCTTTATGTTAAGCTGCTCGGGCACACTCGATAGTTCGGAGCCCTACACATTGCGTCGTGTGTATTTCTTGTTTGAATGGTTGGCCTTATATTCTTAGCGGGCCCCCATCTATTAAGCTGCTCGGGCCGGTAGCGGACGCAGGGGAAGGGGGGAGGCACGGGACCATGCTCTAGTGGACCATGCTGAGGGGACCTAAAGGCCCCGAAGGGACCCATAACGGGCCGAACGTATGCAGTTTTCCAACAACAACAAAAAACAGAACTGGACGTCTTTGGGCCTACAGCCGATCAAGAACAATTGCTAGCAAAAATATGGAGTTCAAAGGAAGACAAAGTTAATTCTTCGTTCATTTAGAAGGCGATACTAGGGGAAATTTCGGGACTCATTACGCTGTCCAGAGGCCTTACGCTGTTGGTTGTCCTGGCCCCGTAGGTCGATTTGCCGGTTTAATGTGATCTCTAAGGAGGCTTTTCACGTTGCACTTGATCTCTTTGCATTTGCTCGTAGTCATGGTCTTGGATGGTTCCCCTTTGCTCAGAGGGTCCGGTGCTTTGGCTGAGGCCTTATATGTCAGCCTGCCAGAGCACTATCGATTGTTTAGGGGCCCACCACGTTGGTCTTCGGTTCATCCTGCTTGCTCCGAGGACCCCACACTTCTTGATGGGAGCCACTTTGTTGGGCACCTGTGGTACCTACGATCGTTCAAGTTCCGTCCCTATCGGCCTTGGTGTCCTTGCCTTAGAGCATCAGTCGGACATGCGTTGACGGATTTTTACGCGCAATCGTCGAACGTGATTTTACGTGCCGCCGACGTCGTATGTGTCATTTCAATTGACTGTTGCGTGTGCGACACTTGTTATACTAGCGCATCACGTTCTTGACATTGTTTGAATGTTAGGATATTTTGGACTCCTTATAACAAAGAAAAAATTATGCATTAGTCATCAGTCATCAGCTGATTATATCGCCCAGCTGGTTAGCCGAAAATAAGCTGGGAACCTAATCCATGCATGGTTTTAGTGGTTGTTAGCAGCCAACTCGAATTTGATTTCCTGTTGCCCCGAAACAGTTAGTCTCAAAATCAAGGGATTTGACAATATCTCTAGAAAATAAATGAGCTATTTGTATATGCATACGTAGCACGCCTACGTTTATAGGGCTGTGCACAGTAAGGTGGGTTCCCGAATATATATATATATATATATATATATATATATATATATATATATATATATATATATGTCACCGATAACATAGGCATACGGATACGCAACCACGGAATTGATTCCAAGCTCATTTACGGCTGGCCGGCTGGGCGGTGTAATGACCTGATGGCTGATGACTAATGCATAATTGTTTTTTGTTTTGTTGTTTGTTTGTTTTTTGTTATCAAGAAGTGCAAATATTCCAGCGGTCAAAAGATGTTAAGAACGTGATACAAAAGTATAATAAGTGGGACTCACTCAACAGATCAGATAGGCCCTCCACAAGAGCGCAGCCCCCTCCCCCTCTCGCCCCCCCCCCCCCACTTAGATAAAAAGTATTTAAGAGCGATTGCAAAGGATCCTTGAACGATCGAGTGCGCCCAAGCAGGCTATCAGATGGGTCTCCGACAAGAGCGTAGGGCTTAGGAATGCTTACTGATGCTTGGGAAGCTTTACTCGCGTGTTTTTGTCTAAACAAGTTTGTGTTGCCGGCATTGATGTGCTTAAGATTGTTTAAGATTAATTGTATGATTTACTTTAGCATGCGAACCCTTTGCCTAGGAGCTTTCGTCTCCCCGTCAACCTGTTTGTCATAAGAAATATTTTGCAGGCGTTCTTTAAACCATGCAAATATTTGCTTGCGAGGTCTTTGGTAATAGCCTCTTCGCACGTTATTTTACCATACGCACCTTTCATCATGCGTTTTACGCACATTTGTTGGATGGCATCTGGGTATGAATTAGCTTAATCCACAAATCCCTTCTCCAAGCGCATTTTTGTCCTTATAATCTTTATCTTGATGGTGATCGATAACAGGTTTCCAACGTTCGTGTTGCGTGCAACAGCCGCACACGACTGGTGATCAGTGTCTGCTAGTTCGTACTGTTGTGGCTTAATTCGTAACTACTGCAATTAAGCTGTGATTTCAACCTGGAGCTGAGTGACAATGCCCTATGTATACATGCTATTGAAGCGTGGGGATTCCCTCACAAACAAGCCATGTTCCCTGCACCGAACCACGGGAGCGGCGGACGGAGTCGCTCGCTGACGCCACACCGGCGACGCTGGCAGTCCACCTATCCAGACCCGCCCTTCCATACATTGCGCCCCGCTGTGCCTGACACCGCCGGACTTGGCCCTCGCTTCTGGCGGCGCTGACCCACCTTGTACCCCTTCCTGTTCGCAGGAGCGAGAGAAGTTGTCAACAATTGGGTGAGCGGGGGGGGGGGGGGGGTTGTCACAAGCATTTGAGGTGTCTTATTCCACGTACCGCCGCAAGCCTAGTGCTAAATTATCTCAGTTATTAGGATTGTCCCGCCCTGGCGTCCTGGTTGTTATGCTGGCGGCTGGCGACCGGGAGGCGCTGGACTAGTTCCGGTGCGCGGCTCGGGAAGGGTGGTCACATTCCCCACACAGGCTGGCGCGTAGCGAGGACGGCTCCTGGGAGTGTTTTTGTTCGCGTGCTGGTCGCACTGGTGAGTATGCGTTGTGCGAAATCATTTCCGTTTCGTGCATTGTGCTCTCGTGTGGCAAGATTCCTTTGAACTGATTTGGTGTGTTTGATGTGGCCGGTACACTCGCAGGGCCGTGCTGTGCCATGCAGGGTGCCGTGCACCCATGTTAAATAGAGGATGAAAATCCCTTTGGTGTTGTGTATCCCTCCCCACCTAGTGGCGAGGAGGTCCCCTCCCCTAATTAAATGAACCTCCATTAAATGAAATCGGTTTCTGTCATTGTGGAGAGCGTCATATGAGGTTAACTATGCATGGGTAAGAAATTCCCCCCCCCCCCCTCCTCCCGCTCATTGAAAAGGTCTTAGACTGAGGTCCTGGATCTGCATGACTTCTTACATATGCGATAATACATTTGCGACATCTCATCGCCTGTTTCTCCTGATGTGCTTGCTTGCAATATGCGAGCGGCGTGCTATTGTGATTTTTTCAGTTTACGCCCCTTTTGCGTGCTTTTCCGGCAGGATGAGGTTCCCTGCTATGCATTTCGGGGAGGGGGGAAGGGCATCAGCTCCAGCCCTTGGTTAGATGGAGATACGCTTTATTGTTGTACTGCTAAGATTATGCTGAGAACTGCGGCTGCTCTGCTCTGGAACGCTGCTTGATGACTGCTTTTGGTTGCGCGGAAGCAGTATGTCTGTCAACAAGCTGGCACAGCAATCAGACGCTTCCGTTAAAGACAACTGGTGCTGCTTCAGAATCAGCGTGTTTGGGAAAGCAGGTATTGTACCATATGGGTTTGTAATACTCAGCTCGTACTTCACGTACAATTCTGCCAAAATTTACAGCGAGGCTTTCCTTACTACGATTATTGGTAATTCCACAAGACGAACATGGCAAAGACAAAGCCATTTTATCTATTGTATTTCTCTGAGCATCTTCCCAGGGTAAACATTAGCAAACCAAGTTTTGGAAACGTGACATAAGAAAGAAGTGGCAGATTTTTTTTGAAAGCGGGCTGGCGGTGTTTTGCCGGAGTTCGCTGTTTTATTATTCATTTCGGACATATCTAACAAGTGCACCTATTTATCATCGACGACTGTTTTTGTTGTCATCAGCCGCACGCTGGGGCAAAGAGCGAGTGCCGAAAACGACCCAAACTCATCCTTTAATGAGTGAGTGGATCGGAAAGCAGCCGCGCTAAAAAAAATGATCTATCAAGACAAGATCTTATTCCTGTATAGACAGCTCACAGCTACTACGCTCCAGTCTCTTTATTATTGACTGATAAGCTTGTTGGCATTATCCTGGCAGAGTAAAATGCAACACACCAGTTCTTCCTCATAGCATATAAACGTTTCGCTTGATTATCCTCATAAATGGCACCATTAAGAGTTTCATGGCGTTGTTATTGTGACCGCAGGGAGACATAACTCAAGCCGGCTTTCCTGCAAGCACTCCATGTAAGTGATCTCTCATTAAGTTTTTCCATGCATGTACTCCGAGAGAGTGCATATATAGTGCATTTCTGCATTACTATTCGGCATAAATTCTCTCATTATTTCAACCTGGGAAAGCGACTTAACAAAACATAAATTCTTTCAGCATCAAAATCGCTGCACATGAATAACCATCCACACTCAGGCTGTGAAGCAGTAACCTGAAGTACTGAACATCGCCATTTCCAGGGGCCATCCTGCGCGACACACCGTGCTACAGCGCCTCCCGCAACAAAACGAAATAAGTACCAGGATTATGGCTTCGGCGGGAAAGACTGCGACGACGGCAGGAAACATCACGCTGACAACAGCAGCAACGACACCTAACATCTGTTGAATGGTTTAGTGATTGTCGCATCGGGCATGATAACAGGGAGGTGTATGTTCTGCGCAAGGGTACTGTTATCGAGGTAATTTCGGTAGAACACATGGTGAATAAACTTTGACCTGCCTTATTATTGAAGACATGAAGCAGTCTGCCTGGAATCACGACGACCGATCATTCAGATGGAATTTGAAATCGCAGTTCGGTGAATCCCAGTTGGGGCCCATCTGGGGCGGTTAAAAAGGCCCCATCTGGTCTACCTAATTGGTTCCTATTTGGGCTGGTTACGTGGGTCCAAGCCGGCCTGGCCCGTATGGGTCCTAACTGAGTTACCCAGGCGGGTCCCAACTGGGCTGCCCAGGTGGGTCCCAGCTAAGCCTCACAGGTGTCCCACATTGGGCTTCCACGTGGAACCCAATTGGTGGCCCATGACATGCCCGCATGGGCCCGAGGTAGCAAGCCCAGGTGTGCCCTACTTGGTTGCCATCTCGGACCCACATGAGTCCCAGTTGTGGAAGTTGGATGGGCCCCATGTGTGCCCTAATTAGGCTCCACATGGGCCCAACAAGGGTCATCCATATGGGACCGATCCAGGTGTTTACCCATGGCATGCCCACATGGGATTAAAGTGGACAGCCCAGGTGGGCCCCATATGACTGTCCAACTGGGACCCATGTGGGTCCCAGTTGGACATGCTGCCTGTTGGACATGCTGTGTGTGTGTGTGTGTGTGTGTGTGTGTGTGTGTGTGTGTGTGTGCGTGTGCGTGTGCGTGTGCGTGTGCGTGTGCGTGTGCGTGTGCGTGTGCGTGTGTGTGTGTGTGTGTGTGTGTGTGTGTGTGTTACATGCTCTTTGCCTTAAAATGTAATGACCAGAACGCAGGGATGTTTTTTCGAAGGGGCTCGGACTCTAGGGAGCCACAATGTTGCGTGCTCCCCTCCCCTTGACGAAATCCTGGATCCGCCCCTACCCCAGACGGAACCGGGCAGGATCAGAAGAGACCGATCCGAACCGGATGAGGCGGCACGGTGTTGGACGGTACCGCATGGGACCTGACGCGATGGAACAAGCCGGACGAAGCCGAATGGGACGCACTAGACTGGACTGGACTGGGCGGGACAAGAAAGGACTGGAAAGGACTGGACGGAACAGAATGGAACTAGAGCAAACAGCTGGGACTGAGTGGAACCAGATAGTAGAGGACGGGACTGAACGAGGCAATGTGGGAACAGATGGGACCGCACGGGACCAGAAGGGACCAGACGGATCCTGTCTGGCCCCGTCTGGTCCCGTTCTGGTTCCGCCCAGTTCCGTTCGGTCCGTCACGTTTCTTTTGTTTGTTCCCTTGCCGTCCGATGCCTTCCCATCGCGACAGATTCTGTCTGGTCCCATCCGGCTCCGTCCAGTCCTATCGAATCCCTCATCCCATCCCGTCCCAACTTTTGCCAAGCTCCATCTGATCACATCAGATCTCGTCCATCTCCATGCGATACCGTCCAGTTCTATGTGGTTCCATCCGGTTTCATCCGGTCCCATCTGGCTTCGTGGCGTTTCATCCTGCATTGTCTGGTACCATTCTGAGGTACTCGGCGTTATTCGCTCACGTCCGGTGTCGTTTGATTATATCTGATCATGTTCGGTCCCGTTTCGTCCCGTCAGGACCCGTCTCCTCCCGTCTGGTCCCGTCAAGTACCATCCATTCTTGTCACGTTTGGCCAGGTCCCTTCCGGCCCGGTCCGGTCCCGTCTAGCCCATTAATGTCCCGTGCGGTTCCGTGCGGTCACGTTCGGTGCCGTCCGATCCTGTCTGGCCTTGTCCGGTGCCGTCCGGTACTCTCCAGAACTGTCCGGTCTTATGTAATCCTGTCCGGTCTTGTCCGGTGCCGTCCGATTTCATTTTATTCCGTAAGATCTCGCCCGGTTCCATACGGTTCCGCCCAGTCTGGTGTCGCCCAGTCCTACCCGGTTTAGTCTGGTCACGTGCTGGTCCGTTTTGCCTTAGGGCGTTCCGCCTGGTCCAATCCGGTTCCGTCCGGTTCCATCCGGTTCTGTCGGGTTCCGTGTGGTCCTGTTCTGTCCCGCCCGGCTTCTTTCGGCGACTGTCCGTCGGTTGGGTGCCACACGTGTACCGGGAAGCGCCAATGTGCCCTCATGTAATAGCCGGGCGTAGATCCACATGTGGCTAGCGCAAGGTTGAGTGATTTAAAGAGGTCGTGAAGGCTTGAAGGCTGACATCCTGCCAGGGACGCTTGCCGGGTGAGCGCGGACAGGCCAAGGTCAGCAGACTCACGGATGCGAGGTGGCGAATCACGTGGAACCAATGGCCGCATCCGAGTGCAGTCGGCAGCATCCTCTTTTATGCCAGTCGTCAAATCAAAACTATCCTGCCTTGAATCACCATTTAAAAACAACAGCGTTCGTTTCCAATTGCTTGACATGAATGGTTTTAGGTTCAGGTTAACTACTAGGCATACCTTGTTGAGCACGCCCTGACCCCACCACCCAAATTTTGCTGTCCAGCTCAAGCGATGATTTTGCTTCCACCCTGTCACCACACAGGACTACAGACGGTTTTGCGTGCCGCAGAATGCTGTGGTACGGCCGTCTCGAGCCCGGGTTTGAATACCTGTTCGTTCATTTTCATCCAAATGGCTTTTATCCATGTGACATTCTGCCAATAGTTCCGCATCAGACATTCTGAGCATCCAGCTCTCGTCCTAGGTGATTTCTTCCCTTTCGTCCTGCGATGGGGGCCTCAGAGGCCGCCCTCATATTTGGAAAACTGGGCAGGCTAGAGTCACGTAGAAAACGGCATTATTAAGTTTGCATTGAACTGTAACAAACAAGCACTCACACAATGGCGAATGTAAGCTTTGATAGGTCAAACCAGGTGAAAGTAAGTCAAATTAGCACTTCACAGACCCTCTCCTGTTCTTTAAGGAGCTAAGCATGCTGCTCCAGTGCGACAGACGATGTTGAACAGCTCTTGGCAAACTGTCAGGCACTGGAGGGCATCGACACATGCGGCCCGCGATATGCCATGCCAAGTCAAGGCGGTGAGCGTTGTTGTTGCATTAGCCCGTCCGTCTACGTATCAGGGACTAAACAAGCCACATGGATGGGGAAAATAGGGTTTTAAAAATATTGTCAAGCCCAACGTATGTGTCATTAAGGTTCAAACCGTTCCTATTCTCGAAACAGTAAAAATTTGGTGATAAAAGACAAAGTTAGGCCTACCTTAACCTAGCATAACCTGACCTTGCAAAAGCCATCAGACCGATACAAGTGCACTTAGGATTATACAGCTAAAAAAGCAATCTACAAATAGCTCTTCGAATGCCTTCCGTGCGAGAACTAAGCCTTATCGGTCGCTTTTAAGCACGATGTCACGGACACCACGTCAAGTAAAAGCGTAGATCATGTACCATCAGGGTCAGGTGCTTACGTTTTCCCCAAATGTGTTAGAGTGATACAGTCCGAAATTGCAGGTCAGTGCTTGAGACCGTTCAGAAGTTATCCCGAAAAACTTCGACGGACACCTGGGCTCCCTTTATAGGGCGAGTGCTAAGTCATGGGACGTAATACAAAAAATAAACATTTGCACTTGTGCGTGCCACCATCTCGCGTCAAAATTCCGGTAAAACCACCGCTGTCTTCGATTCATCTCTCTCCCTCTCCCTCTCCCTCTCGATCGAAGCACGTCTGCGACAATTCATCGGAACCAGTGCGTCACGATGGTGATGGTGATTTTGTCTTTAGCGCACATCGACCACCCAGGTCATCCTGCGGCCATAAAAGCGTTCCGATAGCCGACCATGTATTGAATGTACTGAACACTAGGACAGGGTGGTCGCTCCCGGGCACAGTCTCCCCCAGGGCGACGCGACGCCGCGACGACACAACACCGGTGCAATCTCGGCGCTGACAGACGTGGGACCTAGGCGTAGTAGTTCAGGTTGGTCTTCTTCTTGGCCTGCACCTCCATGATGGCATCCATGAAGTCCTCGTGGGTGACAGTGGTGGCCTCCCGACGCAGCGCAATCATGCCCTGCCGAGAAAGCGGGCGCATGGTCAGATCACCCACAGACCGATGACCGTCGCCTCTCCAGGTCACCCACAGATGACCGTCGCCTCTCCAGGTCACCGGCACCGCCAATCACACCGCGCCGAGAGCACGAATAGCGCTCGCTCCGACTCCGGCAGTGGACGCCAGACATATCCGCCTAAACGTGCAACCCGGACGGCCGTATGTACCGCGGACATAGATGGACTGACCGCTCGGCGGCCTCCACCCCTACCTTAGGTCGTGCTTATAAAAACGTACAGGGTCGAATCACGAACGCCCTTTCCTCCGCCGCTGACGTACAATGATGCCCTTTTCCTTCAACGAACCATGTTCACATGCGCTCCGTCCAGACTAGCGTTATTTAAGTCTGTCATAGGTTGAGCCTATAGGGTTTGTGGTGAATTTGTTCCGCATTCACTGGACACTCCTCGTCGCACTCAAACACCAGCGTGACATTCCCTAATCTGAATTTCTGGCTGTCCCAAGGTCGGCGCCCATTGGCAACAAGCCTCGTTGTTAAAATGAGGACATCATTTAACTGAAAGACCTGCCACTGAAAGACGTCCAGAATCCAGTTGTGTCATTACTGTGCAGCAGAGCGACTTTTTCCAAAACTGACTATAGGAAAATATATCATTAAAATCCACCCATTGAGCCCAAGATCTTGCAAACCTTGGGCCACTTCAATGCAATTTACTGCATTTAGCCCAAATAAAATTATATACTTGGAGACGAAAGCTACCATTCATGAGCAAAGAGTAATTTGGTTGCGATTACTCAAGTGGAGAACTGGCGTTGTCCATATTCTATGACGGATCTCAATCGTTCGGCCTCAACGTGCCCCATTTCTGGCATTCCTCTTTCAGCCCCCTCGCGTCTCTCGTATGCGTGGGATTACGCTATTGCCCCACAATAATGGCTATGCAGCCGTGCGATTTTAAAAGCTGAGCTGGTGAGTACGCAAGGAGCATTGTGTGGGGAATACGGCATGGTAGGTACGACAGCGGTCACGCCCAGCCTCATGGCAGCGCTGCAGCATTTTCCTTTTAAAAGGCGTTCGTTGCTGGATTTTGCCGCACCAACTTATCTCAGCTTTTTCAACCCCTGAAAAGTAGGTCTGGATTTGGTTAAACACTATTTTTTTTAATGAATTAAAGGATGCCTTAAGTTTAATTTCGTGCATTTATAATATTTACATATCGGATTTCATGGGACGCATTCTGACCTTCACGGTCTCAAACCTAAAATTGATCTGAATCAAACATTTGCTATCATTTCGACTCGTCCCGGTGACACAGTTCCGCTGACATTCAGTACATATTTGCTCTTGCGGTGCATGAGAGCCGATATTCCCAGCCTCCGGGCCCGGCTACGGTAAAACCCGAGCCCAGCCCAGCGCGATTCTAAAGAACCGTGACGTTGTTTCTGAACACCGCTCGGCTGAACACTGTTTTGTTGTCAGGACCCAATCCAGTTGTGAATCAAATGCGTGGCTGGCCGGATCAACCCGGATCGCTCAAAGTCCACAGTCGTCACCCAGCTGACGTGCAAGGTCTGACCAATGACAGGCAGCCCGAGCGTCCACGTGAGGCCAGGTCTGACCAGTGACCGGCAGCCCGAGGTCCAGGTGAGGCCAGGCCTGACCAGTGACCGGCAGCCCGAGCGTCCACGTGAGGCCAGGTCTGACCAGTGACCGGCAGCCCGAGCGTCCACGTGAGGCCAGGCCTGACTAGTGACCGGCAGCCCGAGCGTCCACGTGAGGCTGACCAGGAGCACTCACCGCCTCCACGCAGACCGCCTTGCACTGGGCGCCGTTGAAGTCATCCGTGGAGCGTGCCAGCTCGTCGAAGTTGACGTCGGGCGATACGTTCATCTTGCGACTGTGGATCTGCATGATTCTGCGGAACGGAGTGGAGGAACGGCGTCAACACGACGGAAGACGGAGCCGACGCCCTAGCTGGTCTGGACAGGGCACCTGATTGGAAGCATCAAGGAAGTTACGACAAGCGGCTACTATCTGAGCTGAGTCATATCTCCGCGTGTCGGAATCGGAGCCAGCTCAATGCTGCGCTGTGCTCCTGCCAGTCAGAGAGGCAATTTATCCCACGGGCCATGAGTCAGAGCCGTTACTGATTCTGCCTCAGTGGAATCAAGCGCAACTATGGTTTTCATATCAGAAAAACCTCGCGGTGGCGCCGCTGTTGTTAGGCAGCTATTAAGTGTCGTTTCTAGCGAGCACTCGCGCCACCGCCGCCTTTTCCAGCGACAGCAAACGACGGCTTCGCACCAGGCTGATGCAGTCATGTTGTCTGATGTAAACAATGGTACCATCGCGCTTTTTGAGTCATCTTCAGCTACGCTTTGAAGGTCAATGACATTTTTTCAGCATTTATCAGATGCGCTACACAATCTTCCCCTCACGGCTTGAGGCATATAACAAATCACTGTCTCTAGAAGGATTGCTTAGAAACATCACGTCGTCACGTGACCAGAGCTCTTCCAGCAGCACCCACGACTGGTTGAGAAACTTCAATTGATAACTCCATACACAGAACCTTAACACCGCGAATAGGCATTTAAGACCTCACAACATAAAATAATTGAAGAGGAGATGACCCATAATTTACGAGCATACTGCATGTCTGAGAATAAAAATCCGACAAACGGCTCGTGGATGCGAGAGACTTACAAACAAACATTCTTTTCCACCTTTCTGTAGCACGTATTTCCTCTCTGGATATTCCGCGCCACGTACGCCGGCGCAGTCGCAATGGAATCGTCAGACAAAAACGTACATTGGACAAACATCTATGGGATACGCTAGTCTTAGAAAGAAATGTCATTTTCCGCCTTTCTTTGTAGTGCGTGTTTTCATCTCTCTTTATCTCCCCACCACGTGGAGTCTCCACCAAACAACCGAGGCTCCCCAGCTTTGGCGCAAACGGCAGTGCGTAGGTCCCATAATCTGAATACCGTGAGTTCAATCCTCATCGTGAGCAAGTTTTACGGTTGTCGCAAGAACCCCAACGCTTGTTAAATGACGTCAATGGGCAAGCCTAGAACCTCATGAGCGCCCCTAAAAAGAACACGGCACATCGCCCCGGATCAGCGCCGATCATCGAGATGTAGCACGCTTCAGCGGCGCCTGGACAAAGTATCGCGCATCCTCTTCTAACACAGCCTAGGCACGCACGTCCGCGAATCACACTGGCTGACTTACCGAGCGCGGGCCTGCTCGTTGGGGTGAGGGAACTCGATCTTGCGGTCCAGCCGGCCGGAGCGCAGCAGCGCCGGGTCCAGGATGTCCACCCGGTTCGTGGCCGCGATCACCTGGCGACCAGCGCACACCACGTCAGCGCCCGGAGGCTCCTCCCCCCCCCCCCCCCCCCCCCCATCACCTGGCGATCAGCGTACACCGCGCCAGCGCCCGGAGGCTCCTTCTCCCCTCCCCCTATCACCTGCCGCCCAGCGTACACCGCGTCGACGCCCGGAGGCTCCTCCCCCCCCCCGCACATCACCTGGCGACCAGCGCACACCGCGTCAGCGCCCGGGGCCTCCTCCCCCATCACCGGACGACGCGCACCGGAATCCGCCACCCTGATCTGTGTAGCTGATACTGGCATACAGAGAGCCTGCGGCGGCAGGACATGTGCAGGCTACGACACCACTGTGACCCGCAGGGCAAGCACAAGTGAAGCTTGAGACAGCTGAAGGCAGTCGTCACCTTTATGTCCGTGGTGGAAGAGAAGCCGTCCAGCTGGTTCAGCAGTTCCAGCATGGTCCGCTGCACCTCCCGGTCGCCGGCTTTCTCCGAGTCAAACCGCTTGGTGCCTGCCGGCCGCACAAGTTAATCGCACGTGACCAGGGCGACGGCTACCGGGCGGGATCGCGCCAAACACCCATCGCAGAAGCACGTAAGGACACAAAGGTGATCACCGTGCTTAGAAGAGAAACGCAGAGCATGACCTCACAATGCGTGTGTGCAGATAATTAGGTTGTTCACCTAATTCAGTGGGGCAGGAATCACAAAACAACCAAAAGCACGGATTTTCACATTCAGTGAGCCACGCGGCGCACAAAAAAATGACTATGATCTGCGTAGTATCCGCATCAAAGTGACGACGCAGACGACAGAAAGACGCCAACATTGAGGTATCAGGAAAGGTGGCACTCACGCACTTATGATGCAACCATATCGGAGAAGAACAAAGTCACCCCACGGACCAAAAAGGATCGCATCCTTGGTTGGCCTAGTCGCCGTCAGACCGTAAAGGGCTACAGGTGCTCCACTCCGCTCCGCTCCCATCCCATCCCATCCCATCCCATCCCATCCCATCCCCATCCCCATCCCCATCCCCATCCCCATCCCCATCCCACCCCCACCTCCACCCCCACCTCCACCTCCACCTCCACCCCCACCTCCACCCCCACCCCCACCCCCATCCCCACCTCCATCCCCATCCCCATCCCCATCCCATCCCTCTTCCTCTTCCTCTTCCACTTCCTCTCCCCCTCACTCGCCCTCTCTACACGCCCACCTACCGATGGCATCGAGTTCGTCGATGAAGATAATGGCGGGAGACTTCTCTTTGGCGAGTGCGAATGCGTCGCGCACCAGCTTGGCGCCATCGCCGATGAACATCTGCACTAGCTGGGGCCCGGCCAGCTTCAGGAAGGTGGACTTGGTCTGGGCGGCGCAGGCCCGCGCCAGCAGCGTCTTGCCTGCGGCCAGGAGAGCACACGGGGTGGTGGAACCAACCGGTGGCGGACGGCAGCGGCTACGTGTGCCGTAGGGCGCGCAGCCGGTGCCAGGTGAAGGACGGCAGCGACTACGTGTGCCAAAGGGCGCGCAGCCGGTGCCAGGGGAGGGACGGCAGCGACTACGTGCCGAAGGGTGCGCAGCCGGTGCCAGGTGAGGGACGGCAGCGACTACGTGTGCCGAAGGGTGCGCAGCCGGTGCCAGGTGAGGGACGGCAGCAGCTACGTGTGCCGAAGGGCGCGCAGTCGGTGCCAGGTGAGGGGCGTGTGCCAATGGGCGCGCAGTCGGTGCCAGGTGAAGGACAGCAGCGGCTACGTGTGCCGAAGGGCGCGCAGCCGGTGCCAGGTGAGGGACGGCAGCGGCTACGTGTGCCAAAGGGCGCGCAGCCGGTGCCAGGTGAGGGACGGCAGCGGCTACGTGTGCCGAAGGGCGCGCAGCCGGTGCCAGGTGAGGGACGGCAGCGGCCACGTACGCCGAAGGGCGCGCAGCCGGTGCCAGGTGAGGTCACATGGGTGAAAGCAATAGGCACATCTCACAAACCAACTCCGTACAGGGCGGTCGCTAGCGCAGCCGCCCGACATCAACACCACATAACGTACCGGACTGTAACGACGGGGTGCACGGGTGGGTATCACACCAGATGGCGTACCCACACGCGGTCAACGGCTGGCATGCATGCGTACACACACACAGGCATGGCGGACATTTGAACACATTGCTCCACAGTGCATTCGGCAGACAAACCAACGCCTGTCAAATTTGACATCTGCCATGTGACAGGAACACAAGAATCAGCGTCACACAATCTTTACACAACAGCATGACAGCTGCCCAACATGACCACACCACACCAATAGGGGGTAAGCAGCTCGGCCCACAGTGCCACTGACCTGTGCCAGGTGGCCCGTACAGGAGCACTCCCTTCGGCGGCTGGATGCCCAGGTTTGTGAAGCGCTCCTTGTGCGTCATGGGAAGTACTACAGCCTCAATCAACTGAAACGGAAGCGGAGCGTCAACCACAATCCAACATCGTACAACCGCGACCGTCGACCTTTGCTAAAAACAAGATCGATTTGGCTCACCGCATTTTCCATGTTAAAATTTGCTGCTAATAACAAGAACGTCCAGGCAATTTTGACATCATTCATGCGCTCACCTGGTTCGACCTCCGGCTTGGGCAGTAGTAAATATACTTCTTAAATTAAATTTCTTCGAGATTCGCAAGGATTTTTCACCTTTCTTCTACAACCTTTCCTCTTAATTTAAGGCCCTCCCGGGAAGCAGCACGCCTGTTTGAAGCGTGGAGTGTGGAGAGTATAAAGCCGTGCCTTTGGGGAAGGTAGGCTTTGACCGATGCACTTTGTAATAAATTCAACATGTAAATGGAAAAAAATCCGCCATCAAAATAGTTTACTGGCATGCAGCCATCATTGCCGGTGTACAAGTGTTTTGGCCATAAGGCCATGAATAACTCTAGCAGAAATGAAATGAATCCGGAGGCGAGATTTCCGACACATGTGCAACAGCCTCTTATGCGAGAAAGCACAGCCTTCGTGTACAGTGCTGTTCTGCTGCGTTTAGAAAGCGATTTGAGCAGCAATGCAACACAAATTTGAGTGCCGCAAAGTTTGCTTCTTCGGTCCGCTGCTTCGAGGCTTGTTTTCCATCGACTGAGCATGTACTCGACCGCTCACTGCACCCCAAACGGGACCCATGAGCTTAAGCTCTTAAGCGGTCTGACGTACACTACTCTCCGCCAGCTTTCCATTTGTGTGCTGGCAGGCTGTAGAGTATGCTATGCGGAAATCAGTGCACAAATGTGATGCCTAGAACAAGCTTGTTCGTGAACAGTGTCGACTTAGTTTTAGCTTTAAAAGTGAGAAATTGCAGATGGATGGCAGCAAGAGAGTCAGCACGAGCTCCAACCTGACCCAGCTTGACGGCAAACCGGAGGAGCATCCCAGAGATCCCTACCCAGAGAGGCATCCTCTAGTATGCGCTCAATAATGTCTGAGCTTTCCAAAACCGGTCTTAACTTCGTCAAAGACTTGCATATCGATTATTTTACGGTTAATGGAAAAACGTTAATTTTCGCCAAAACACGAAAACATGAGCATAACCGTCCAATCTTAAGATGGAAGACGTACCGATCGTGTAATGGATAAACTGCGCGCCTAGGAAACCAGAGATACGGGCTTGGATTCCACGCGGTGCCAGCCCTTCCCGCCAGGATGAGAGGCAGGCGACACCATATGGTCCCAGAGCGCGTTGTAAAGCCCCAATGATCACGACACGGATACCTAAATCAAGTTAATGTTGGGGAAATACTCCATGACCACTTTTGTATGCATCAAACCGACCAGAAAACAAACGTTCAGTTCTTCCGTCCACTCCCCCCCCCCCCCCCCACCCGTTAAAAAAATAATGTATTTTTTCGACTTTTCCCCGAGCTTTTGCTGCGCACATTGTAAGCATGCGCGTGCCATGCACGGCCAGATATGCCTACCTTCCGGATCCAGAAGTGTCACTCGGCCCAACCCACCTCCCGAAAGTCTCGTCGTTCGCCGGCCCCCACCCGGTCTGTCTCACCTCTTGGATCTGCTTGTCGAGGCCGCCCACGTCTGAGTACTGTTCGGTGGGCCGCTCGTCCACCTCCATGGCTTTGACGCGCGAGTCGTACTCGGCCGGCAGGGCCTCCAGGATCAGGTACGAGTCCTTGTTGACGCCCACCAGATCGCCGGGCTTCAAGTCCTCCGGGTCCACCAGACCGATCACTGGCAGGAAGTATGTCTGGCGACAGATGGCGGTCCGTGGTCGGTCTGGGCAGCGGTGCGCCCAGTGTACCAACACAGTCCGCCTCGCCAGCTGTACAGCCGCGGCTGGATACAGCCAGGATGTGATATGGGGCGCAGACACATCAGGCGCAAAAGTTCGCCAAGTCGCGATTTTACATCAGTGCTTTTCAGCGGAGATATGCTCATGCCAGGATGCACTGCCACACGCTTGAAACAACTGGGCAAAACATGAGTTAAGTGGCTGAGGCACACTAATACAGTTTTTCGCTCCTGTGCGGGGAACGCAAGCCGCGCCCACGCACCTGACGAGTAGAGGTCTTCACGACGGCACACTTGCCCTTGCGCTGCGAGTCGAGGTCGACGTTGGCGCCGTCTTCCTCGCCCAAGTCCTGCGGATCCACGTCCAGCAGCTGGTGGCGAGCAATGAGCGGAGTCAGGCGTCACAGTCTCCTCAGTGCCAGGCTCAACAGCATGCTGAAGACTGGCCGCAGCAGGCCACCAATCTCGACACATAGACAAATAGGCTATCATGGTGCAATGACTAAGACTCCCTGCACAGCAGCAAAATAAATGTGAGGCCCAGGTAACTAAGCAGCTTCAGCAAACTGGGCATGGTCAGCACAGGAGTCAGGTGGAAAAAGTTTACCGACAGTTTGCTTGTGACATCAAGCCAGTTCAGGACTGTCTAGAGTGCCCACAGATCTTTGTTGACTCCTGCAGCAGCGATTTGGCAGCGTGCTGATTTCAGCATCTAGTCAGTTGGCATTGCAATACTGAATGGCAAGATCAGGACAGCCCCACTGTATGATATTCCCTCATTTCCGCACTACATCTGAAAATCATTCAGTCTCACCTCAATGACATTGGACACAAGGTAAGGCAGAGTCTTGTTCAACTTGATTTTCTCTGTATTCTCGCGAATTTTGTCCTTCTGTGTCTGCAGCTCATGTGATATGCGCATGACTTCTGACTTCATGATGCGAATCTCGTTGTCGAGCAGCCGGGTGAGCCCAACAATCTCCTCCGTATTCATCCGAAGCACATTTTCACCAACAGACTCCTGACACAGAAAGCACACTAGTCAATGGCTGATGCTCCACTAGTCAATGGCTTCATCATCTAGCAGCCAGGTGAGCCCAACAATCTCTTCTCTATTCACGTGAAGCACATTTACACCAACAGGCTCCTGATTCATAGGGCATACTAATCAATGGCTGATGTTCCAAGTTCTGGTCAGGCATTTCCCTGATAAATTTATTGTTCATTATTAATACTTAATGTGGGATTAACCAGCATAGCACAATGACCCCCAAGAAGGCCAAGAAGTGTGATTCAGAGCAAACACAATAGATTTAAGTAGGTGTATCAAAGCACCAGGCATGAACAACAAGCTGTAGCCTTTTATGTGGGTGAAATGTGCCAAAGCAGATTGTGCTTACTCTGCTAAGCATGCTTTTGAAGGGGGCAGCTTTTAACTTACCTCTGCATCTTCCCAAATGGAGCTGTCTTCAAGTGTTGTCATTGTCACTGTTTACTAGCAACCCCTTCTGATGAAATACCCTGCAACAGAACAGAAGACATTTATGCAACAATATTTTTTGGCTCTTGTGAACAATGGGACATGATTAGCCACAGGTGATGTAAGCTGGCCCTATATTCCTACATCTTTTAATGGTATACAAATCTGATTACCTGTTTTCTCTAACTGTTGACTTCCAGCTACCAGTCCCATAGTATATTATAGTAAGACTTTTATAATTGGCAGACTCACTACTAGGTACAACAAATACAAGTTTCCATGAGCCTATGAACATTTGGCTAGGATAGAGGACAGCTATGAAAATAGCATCTGAATGATTATGAAAGTTTAAAAGATATACTGTGTTATTACCATAATGTTACTTGACTTCCAGTGGCAGAGTCCGGCATGCAAATTTGGAAACAGACTGCAGCAAAAAGGTTTGAGCTGGATTATGATGCATAATGTAAGTGATAGGTATGGTAAAAGTATGGTAACAGAGGATCATTTGGCAATGCCTGAGTTCCGATCTAAGACCATGTTTGCAAGACAAATCTTATAATACCCATGCCTTCAAAAGTGATCATGTTAGCCATTCCTTTTCAAACCTACTCCCTTATCTCCTACCATTGAACTTTCATTTTGTCTTACCTGTTTAGCGTGCACCTGAAAAGTCATCTTGCTTCTGGGCATTCACCCAGTGAACATCCATACCAGGCCACTAACCTATCTATCATGTGTTGGAGCATACCTGTGTTACAAAGCTGTGGGAATATGATGGATGTAACAAAACTCTCTAGCAGCACAAATATAAGCTTACATTCCCATTGCTATAACCATGGCATTTAAAGCTACATTTTACTGTAAATGTATGAGATATCTTTAAAAACTAAAGTGTTTACTAGAAATGTTGTTCCATATCTAAAGAAGATATACAACCAGATATTTTCTCAATTATTTTGCCCTTTTGCAAACTTTTAAGCTCTCACCAGATCAATGAAATGATGACACATTGTGGTCAATCCACATTGGGTGGCCCGCACTCTGCAGGCAAGGAGGATCATTTTGAGGGGTGGGTGGACGTGGCATCCAGTGAGGGGCTGGCTTTCAGGTGTCTCAATGCCTTTTGTTGAATGGTGACATTCCAAAATATCCTAGTTAAATATTTTTGTCTCAGGGAATACCTATGTTAAGCAGAACTTCAGGTTGTCCATTCTGGTTGACAGTTAGAAAAACAGTCTAAAACTTGCATGGTACATGTAATGCCATGTTATTGTGATTGGTATGCAATGCCATGAAAAATATGGCACCATGTGACATGCAGACCACAAAATGCTGTGCACATATCATAAAATAATCCTGGAAATTTAAGCATGTGGGGCTTTCATACAGAGAATAGCAGGACCTTTCACATATCTTACTAAAAGATGCCAGTTATTTCAGGTAACACAAATTGATTCTTAGCAATTAAACCCAATTGAATGAATTCTGATTATCAACCAAGAGATGTTCCTAACTGCTCAGTCTCTGAAACATGACAGATTTTGATGAGATCTTATTGGGATCATTGTGGGGAGTTCAGGCTTTAGAAATTTTAGGGCAGAAATCCTTGAAATAGGGCAATTTAAATTATTGAAGGGCACCTCATGACACATTGAGCCAGATGTTCAACTGCGGATTCAGGTCAGGTGAAACTGTCAAATGTCCTGCAGTGTGTAAGAAGCCAAGTAAATGACAATTCAAAGTTGGTAGGGCGAGCCCACCCACCGAGCGTGCCAACAACCAAGCATATTGAATGCTGTGCCACATACTGGGCTGCTAATATTTTCATTCACTTTTTAGTCATTTTTCATGGTTGCACTAGTAGGGCAGGTAACACACATAAAAAAGGCTGCGGTCTTCCCAGTCTGACATCTTTAACTCAATTCAGACCAAATTTCAAACCAAATAGTAGTTCAAAATTACATTTGAGGCTGCACAATATAAAGTGGTCATGGTCAGTAAAAGCATTAAGTCACGAAATCATCGGTTATTAGTTACGGTACAGAAATCGCTGCCAGAGGTCCCCCAGACTTTAACCGTGGAGAACACCTTACCCGAAATCGATTCTTCCGTGGGACTGAGGCCATCTCGGGTCTCGTTAACGTCCTAACAGGGCTTGCAAACTGGTTGAACCAAGTACCATGCACAAAAACAATAGAAATACCTACCTTGCACCTATTAGCAATCCGCGCGCCGCCCCGACTTGCAAAACACAGTTTGCAACTTTCACGACCTCTACCAACGCAACCCTCCACACGTAAGGCCAATAGATGCTGAACGCCGACACAAGGGGCCTTCCCGACACCTAACACCGCGAACGTCTCAGTGCGTCGAATAATGAAGTTTTGCAAGTAAACAGCACCGACTATTCACCAGCTACCAAAAGAAATTAAAAAGACCTAATTTATACACTTATTACCAAATTGAGTTAGCCACAACCAAAATAAGCTTTCCGCCACAAAAAAGGAATATTTCCCTAAGCTGGACGTTCTCGCCGCCAGCCCTCACGAAGCCTTTTACCATAATGCCTACTTGAATCAGCCTTTACACGATAGAGATGTCAAGAAAAACAGGATCCACCGAACTGGCTGAGGCATCGCCAAAGTGCAGTAGGAGATATACGATTTTTGCCAGAATCCGGGACATTCGGGGTGCCAGCAAAAACACCCATATGCAAGCCAAAAGCGAAACTGGCAACAACTTACGAATATTTTAGGACGGTGACGCCGCCATCTACCTATGAGTTGCGCTCCGAGCGCGAGTCACTGACTCGTATTGAGTTTCGTGCATACGTTTGTGCACAGCGGCGCAGTCCGTGGGGGACAAGGGACCTGTACCTCTTTGGCCCTAAAAGACCTTTGGGCCCCTCAGAACAGACGAGCGAGGGTTGATTCGAGGGCTCGAAGGGCTCGACGGACGATCATGCCCTGCAGGACAGATCTCCTTAGAGGTCAGTCAAAGGGACGCTTGCGCCTATCGGGGATGCCCAGGACGATCAAAGCCTCTCTGTAGTCCGAAGACTACCAGTGCTGGGCAGTTGGCTCTGTGTCAGCTTCGGCCCTGGGGCCCATTTACGAGGCAGGAACAAGACCGGGGTCCATGGTTATTTATGAGGGCCGCCTGCGTTGGTAGGGACCCCTGAAAAGGGAAGCCCCCGTGCATGGGTCAGAGGCCCGCAGTGTTATTACAAGGAATCCGTCTGGGAAATGGGCTCCCAGTCTGCCAAGGGCACATTTGCTGAAGAGGAGCATGACTGGACGCTGAATATCATAGGGCATCTTAGGTTGGTCGGGGTCCCGAGGCACTGAGAGCAGATACGAAAAATAGCAGTGAATTTGTCCACAATAAGACAATAGAAGGGCCTGTTAGTCGCGGCCCCAGCACCGAACGTGAGACCTTTCGGGGCCTTGGGCCCTGAAACGGGCCGGGGGCTCGTCTCAGTCGGGATCCCGATAGGATTAACTGTCATTCATGTACATGCTTCGGTGGCATGTTTTATTTTTATCCCAACTTTCTTTAAAACCTTTAAAAAATGGATGAATTCGATATCATGGCTAAGGCAAAGCATGTGTGTATCTTTGTCCAACTTTTCTATCGTAGAATTTCAGTCGTATGGCACAGCTTTGTGGAGAAAATTGTAACGCGCCGTAATGGCCGGCACGGTCCGTTGACCTCCCTGGCATCGGACAGCTGAGTCGCGCTGCCGACGGCTTCATCCAAGTGGCCGTGGCATCGGCCGCCGCGGACCGTCGCGGACCATCCAAATCAGGAGTTAAATAGCGTGCGCACATGGACGCAGCCAAGAGTGGATGCCGAGCACCTCCTCTCTCTCCACCGTCACTAAATTAATCTTGTTTGGCATTAAACTCCATCCTCTTTCGCCAAAATCATCCAGACATGATGACATGTTCTTAAGATGCGCTGGTCGTGATTCATGAGGTATTTTGGGATCCATTAAGGCCTGACGTAAGTTCATTTTCAGGATTTATTGGGACCTGACATGAGAGCCAGTGACCTTTTACTTATGATCGATATCTAGGCTAATATCTCTTGTGTGAGGAGGTCTGAGAGCACTTTGGACACCTACCTGGAGTTTGATCTTGCTTGAACTTATTCGGCCCAGAGTTCACGATTAAGAACCTTAAAATTTGGCACAAATGAATTCACACAGATCCTTACGGCTGTTGAGAATTTTTGTATCTCTTGCTGTATTCAATGTTTGGATCTCGGGAGCCAAAGTAACACAGCTCCCACCCGCACCGGGGCGCAGACGTTTAACCGGCCAGGCGGGCGCGTGTTGATGGTTCGTTTGGTAACCAGAAATGACAAAAAGCTCGCAGCGCCAAGTCGGCGACAATGACAGCGAAAGTTGGCTGGGATCGGCGATGGTCCCGTTGGGCATATCGCTGACCCCCAGCGGACTATATGATATCTGAGTTGATGGCAGGTCATGCATGACGTGTTGTGCCATTATTTAAATTGAGACTAATTCTTGTGCTGAAAACAAAGCTTGGTGTGCCTTCAGCACGGCCAAATGTGTCCTAGGGTTTCAAAGTGTCCTAGGTTTTCAAAGTACGCAAAATTGACGTCGGTAACCACTTTTAGCCGCTGGATGTCAAACAACTGGATGTGCGGTAGAATGTTTCTAGGCACTGTATATCCACGTAAGAGGCTCTCTTCTGTACACTTTTTAGCCGAATCGAGGGGTATGCGAATGCATATTAGAATTCGCATACGAATGCATTACTTACCTCTGGACATTTATATATGTCGGATTATAACACGCTGCTGTGGATGCACATTGTGGTGCGCGAACTAGGATGGCTGAAAGCCGACGAGCTTATATGGGAACGCGACTTTATGATCATGCGTAATACCACCACAGCCACCCACGCGCCGGGATTGTTACGAGAGTGTGTAGTACGTCGCTCTGATGAGTTTGAGCGCCGCTCGTTCATGTTCCGCGCATTTAGCGAGTGGATCTTGCTACCTGCAGACGTGCGGGTGGCAGCGGCCGTGAGCATCGCGATCTTTAGGGGAACCTTAACATCTTTATGATCATGTGTTTTTATGATTTCTTTCATGATCATTATTATTTCTACGGCTCATTTGTCAAGTACATATGCATATGTCGTCGTGTGGTATGCCTCATTCATCTGCGTTGCCTAATTATATCTTGTGTGACTTTTGCATGTACATTGACGTGGAAGCAAGAAAATCCACATTGTGGAAGCTCCTATATACATGTTATTCTATCTATCTTTATCAAATGTCTATTTTTCTCTGAGCTTACCTGACCATGCCGCATGTGAACGTTCACTGACAGCGAGTGTCCTAACAAACCAGCAGTCGGCGTGACTGGATGTTTCTACGGCTCATCCGAAGGAGTTTGCACGGCTTATGGCTTCTTAGTTCACTTCATGCCATAACATGGCCTTGTGTGACGACACCTACGCGATTCACACCCCCACCCGTGCGAACGGGACTATGGTGCTGCACCTGGCATCTGCTGCGCCAGAATTTGAGTCCGACAGGGTAACCGACCGAGCCAAGTTTCCCAGTCAATTCCCACTTGAAAAAACATTCAATTCTAAAAAAAAAACACCATGGGGAAAGGGGATTTCGGCCTGTCGAATGTCAGGTATGACTTGCACAAGCGAAATCCGTGTTCTTCCAGTTAAAGCCCAAGTGATTTTCGTTTGGGCCAAGTTTGGATCTCGCACCGCAGAACGATGTTGACTGCAATAGGGAGGTGCGCAGCATTTCTGGACGAGGTTCTTATCCAAACGAGGCTATCATATCATATACTATCTACCAAAATATGCATTTAGCTTTAGACCTACAGAGATACATACAGACCTATCTGTATGTCTGCTTGTCACTTTTTTTCTTGTGGACCCGTGCAGGTCAGAGAATCCGAAAATTGTACAGTACGCAGGTACGAGTGTGAGAATGTGAGTGTGTGCTGACGACCAGGTACAGATTTTTAGGATCCGATTGGGTTACTTTTAATCATATATCTGAGTAATAGTACGCATAAGTAATCGCACAAGTTGAGCGGTAGTCTGTCCTGTTCAAGTCACCACAAATGAACTAACGCTGTGGCACGAGCAACGAAGGATCATGTGATCCCCATTTGTAGGCGGAAGCCGATAAACGCAATTAACGATAGTGCGCCAAATAATTTTAAATCGTAGGCCGAGGACGACCGTGGGGGTAAGCTAAGTGTAGCAAGTGTGTAAGTGTAGTGTTGTGCAAGTGTAGCTCATGTGTAGCTAAGCATTCATAGATACTTGACGTTATCAAAGATGTCGCACCAGCGAGCATTCCGGTAATCCACTACTCTGGTTGTCCATTTGCTTTGTCCCTTCGTAAGCATTTATACTGCCCGAATGCGTGGCACTATTTGGTACGCGCAGGCAGCATATTTGGTGAGTCAATGTGTATTTTGTAATGACAGCATTGGAGCATGATTGAAGTGAACTGCGATCAAGAGCATTGCTGAGTCTGCTCGTAATCTAAGGCTGCAGACATTTTAGCAGGATAATCGTTCTGTAATTAAATAAAAACAAATGTTTGGAACGTTAGAAAATGCCGTACAACTTATGTGGCATGAGAAAGTTCCTCTGACTTTGAACCAGAAATGTGCCTTTTCATTATGCTCCTTAGATTCAGCTAACCGTACAAAATGATTGCACTTGGTATCTAAATACAAAATTAATACACATTTCCACGATACGCTGCAAATGAGAAGCCAAGATCTGGTAAAAGTGTGCAAATAAACAATATATATTTATTGATTTTCGCAGCGCTGGAAAAGGCATCAACGCCATCTTGTTGTTGTGTCCGCTGAGCGTTCAAGGGAGTTGTAGAGGTGTGAGGTGTAGGAGGGTGGGAACTGGGAGCCGAAAAAAGGATATTCTCCTTTTCTTTGTCATTTGCAACTGGAACAGCACCCGGTAAGTTGGAAAACTTTCGGGTCCTTCCGCGCTTGGGGGAGTCGACGACCGGGTGGGATCAATAACCCTTTGGAAGTCGCCTCGGCATGCCGTCAAATTGCAGCTTGATGCCGAAATGAGCCTCGGTTGAGCTGAATTAGTTCATATTGATCGACTTGGATTGGGGTAGTCCGAATGATTCTGTTTTGTAGATGTTATGTGTGCAAATTGCTTGAAATGCATCCTACGCCGTCGTCGAACATTACGGCGTAGCAATGACGCCCCGGCTTCTCAGCACTTACCTGCCCTCTGAGAGCTCCAGTGTGTACATGGCTGCCTGGAAATTATCTGGAATGATGTTCAGCACTGCAAACATTGAGTATTGTCAGCTACAATAGCCAGTGCTTGGGAAGGATCAGACAGTTTGAGTTTAGGTTGGGGTGGATCATCTTTTTGCACCATGCTCAGCTGTGACTATCAACTGAGGTGTGTCTTTGTATGGTACTTGTTAGAAAGAACTGTCAGGCATTTTCTTTGATTTTTTTAATGTGAATGACAAACTTCTTATGGTGATGATAGAATAAAAGAACAGTTGGTTTAACTATTTCCCTGGTTGAATAAGCTGTTTAGAGCAAAGTGCAATTTTTATATGTGACTTTTAGGTGGGGTCAGGCTGTTTTCCCTAACCAGGCTAGATAATTTAAAGTGCACATGATGAGCTTGTGTAGATGGTCTTTGGACATATGTTTTTTGATTAGGACTTCCCTGCCTTGGCTGAATGAGTATTAAAAGAAGATTAGGAATTAAGATATATGAGCCCAAGGTTCTTGGTATTTATTTTCCAACCTGGTTAAAGATGAAGGCATATAAAAAGGCATGCAGGCACACCTTGCATGTCTTCAAGGCAGGAAGGTCCCCATTGGCATATTCAATGTCATGTGAAACGAAAGCTAGTGCATAGGGCCATTACCAAGCAAAACATATATTTTCAGAAGCTAGCAAGAGTTCTCAAGATTTTGACCTGTTTTGTGATCAGTTTTGCTACTATTCCAAAAGTCCTGGGCATGATTTTTCCTTTTCTATTAGCTGTGACCCAAATTATGCAAGATACAATTGCTTTGGTTTGTGAAAAGGAAGCTAGTGCATAGAACCAGCACAAGGTCAAATATATCCATTCAGAAGCTACCGAGGCTTCTATAAATCAGTTTTGCATCTATTCACAAATTATTGGGCACAGTTTTTCTCTTTCTGTTAGCTGTGACCCAAATTGTGCAGGCAACAGTTGCTTTGGTTTCCTGTTGTTATGTATTCCATTTCTTTTATCATGGTTTTCCTTTAGAAGTGTATTAGGTATATGTTAATGTGGTGTCTATCTGAGACCTCTTTTGACTAATTGTAAGGTAAAGGATCAGTTTTCATTGGCATGGAAACATTATAAAGTCTTGTATAGAAAGCTGCAGTTGATCATTGTCAGGTTGCATGGGCAGTGACAAGAAAGTGTTGGTGTTCATCATCATGGATGCAAGATGTCCTAACTATAATGTCTTTGTCATAAGAACTGCACATAAAGCTTTTGGAAACAGTGCAATGAAAAGTAATATTTTATTACCATCTTGGGAATGGTGCTTTCTTTAACAATTTTTTGTTGCACTTCTAATTTGTTATGTAGATTTCTGATGACTTACTTGATTGCAAGGCCAGAATAGGGTTAACCAACTACTAAACACAAATCTTAGCTACGGACAGTATCCAAGAACTTAGTCTGAACTGCCTACTCCTATCATCTATATCTTACATAACATGCTTTGTAGGCATTTTTGATGCAGATCATTCTTGTTCAGAAAGGCAGATATTAGATATTGAGGAAAATGTCATTTCTGTCATGGTCGGATGTATTTTCAGACCACAACTGCACATTTATGCTTATTAACAACACCCAAAATGTTTATGGTGGTGTCAGATCAAAGTGTGGGTATTTTGAGATCAGAGTTTCATGCCTACATGTGTGTTGCTGAAAATGGATAATTTGTTTTTGAGAAATATCTATTGGAAACACATGTTACCCACACAGAATTTGTGGGTGCTTTGTATGAGGATGAATGCCAAGATAGTCTTTACTTGGATGGCCTGTATCTGTGGTCTTTACAGGGATGGTTTTTATCTGATCCAATTGTCCACCTTATGTATAGGCGCCAGTGACTGCCCATCCCGTTGCTACAGTCTGCTGCATGTCTTTCAGTTGCTTGTTGGGTCTCCCTGGATGTAAACAGCTCCCTGCACCTTTAGTTTTGCTTTTTGGGTTTGCTTAGCTGATGCAATGAATTATGAGCTGAATGTTGCTGTCAGTATTCACTGGGAAGCAGCTGCGGGTTTTACTGTTTCTGTGTACTGAAGTTACATAATTTTCATCTGAGGTATCAACAGCTTTTTCTAGAAACAGAGTGTTATGGTCTTGTCACCTCAGGCATGATTTTCTGTAACCTGATTTTCTTTTTGGTTTGCCTAAGGGCAATCAAGCTGCTACCCACTTGGTATGTCAATGAAGATTTTGATAAATCAGCAGCATATAGACAGTTTTGTTTCCATGCTAACAAAAGCAAGGGATTTGTTGCGCACCATACAGGCTTTCCCTAATGACCCACTGAGTGGTGACCCCCTGGCAACCCCATGAACCTTATGGTGATACTTCCTTTGTGGCATCAGAACTGTGTATCTTTAATGCAAATCTGGATATATGCTCAGAGTTTGATGTGGTCGAATTTTAACACAGTGGTTGGTAGTTAGTTGGTTAGTAGTAGTAGTTGTTTGGTATAGAGGTAGGTAGTAGTAGCATGTTCATGTTTACATTCTGTGTCAATCATGGACTTGTGATGTGGCATGAACATGCCAAATGTGGTTGGCTTTTTGTGTGCACCCATACTGAAAGCTTTTGTAGTATAAATCTGCATAACAGTGTGTCATTTAACTGTAGCCCTCCTTAGTGGATGCAAGCAAGAGTAATCAGCCATCACTCAGGTGCCTACTGATCTCAATGCAATTGGGAAGGTGGTGCCTATGGGCCATGTACAATGCTGTTGAAATTGCTTTGATGGCATGTATTCATGTGTAGGGCTGTCCATTTTTTCAGTGTATATGTCTTGCTATGCAAAGTGTGTATATGTCTTGCTATGCATATGTCAGCCATACAAAGATCATCAAACACATGTTTTCTTGAAAAATTGATGACTTGTTAGGATACTACATTACATTCAGTCTACCTGCTACATTCAGGCTTTTGATAGCCAGTTTTGGGTTATGAAAGGTATGTCTGCATATTTTTTTAAAAATTTGGGTGTTGGTTTTCCAAAGCTGTAAAACAGACAAGTTTATTGGTGAGTGCCCAAGCATGTCAAGAAAGTGTGATCTGGCCATGCATACATACAACACTGGAACATGCTGAGATGTGACCACTCATACATTAGGAGGTGAACATATCAGAGACATTCTTGTCAACAGCAACTACAATATGTCTTATATAAATTCAGAGAATGTCTAACTTTCTGATAAACAACATGTCCAGGGATCCCTCATCAGCACAAATGACCATTGTACTTGATGTGCCCTTCAAACCCAGTAACTACCAAGAAATAAGGCAATGAGAATGGTTACTGCAGTGAACGAACCCATCGACAACTGCACGCGCTGATCAAACCTGTGCATTGCCCATGCTTTGACTACAATAAGGAGGCAAATGACAGTCAATGTACAGGATGGTGCGCCAAAGCTGGTCTTGAAACTTCAACTTGATGTGAATTGATGGGGAAATCCACCATACTGCTAAGCTAAGGCTAAGGTCACCCAAAACGCAGCACTAAAAGTTCTTGAAGCTTTTCAATCAACAGCAGGTGTATGTGCGGAGCATGTAGCTATCGGATGGGCAGCCTCTAGCATTCAAACATGCCAGTGAGGTGAACGATTGTACAGGACAAAGACCATCCAGCGCTCGTCATTATACAAGGCAGTCACTAGCACTGGGCACGATGGCAAACACGTCATATAACCAATGGGCTTGTTTTGCACAACATACATTTCAACATGTAACTTTGATAAGATCTGACCACAAATCTATCATAATTCTTGTTTGTTTAATTGTGGCTAGCTTTGATGAAGTTTCCAGGACCAATAATAATTTTGGGCCAATGCTACAAAGTGAGATAGATACCATTCTCGAATTTTTCTGATCATGGGGGATGTGATTTCCAACAAAAAAATTGTTATCTAAGGCATCAGTCATTGCTAGATATGTATGCCATCCTTAAATCAATTATATATATGTATATATGTGTGTGTTTATCTATGTATATGTTGTGTTTGTGTGTGTTTGTGTATGACATATGTTTCCTTGCATTTTTAAGCATTGTCCTCATTTCTCCTTGATGCAGACAATTGCCCACTTTTGTCTAGTCACATCCCTGTGGTACTAAAGGTCTTGGCATAAATGATAACAATAGACATTAAGTTGTCAGACAATGATATAAAACCGGGACAGGCGCTGCATCGAGTTCAAATGGCTGCTTTCCATTCGCCTTTTTCTTCAAAGACCGTCTGTATCGCGTCACGGTCCTGTCCTAACCGCTACGGTAGGTTTTTGTACGACTATTGCCGGATCGAAAGCCGGCCACCATGGCGGCGACGCGTCTTGCATTACAATGTGAACCTCCCTAGTCGGGCAGAATTTGTTCACTTTTCTTGGTGTCACCGGAACTACAGAAAAAACGTAGAATTAGAGGGCTTTCAGGTCAGTTCAATTTATGGTGTAAGTGTGCGCTTGATCATTTGTATAGAAATATGACGCTGAGCAGCTGACGGCTGTGCCACCATTGATAAGTCTTCAATGTGGACTCCGCCGAGATCGTTGATCTTGCTGGGGAGTGTAGTCTAACGCTCTGGGTCTTTGGCAGGATCTCATTTTCGAGGTCACTGGCCAAGCTGGTCTGAACGCTCGCCGATTGAACTTGTTCACATCTTTGCCGGAGGGTTCGCTGTTTTCCCTTATTGCTGTATTACTGAGTAATCGAAGGGCGGTTAGCGCCGTCCCACCACTTCTCCTGGAGCTCGGGTAAACAGAAGGCTCCTGCCGTCCGTTGAGCCGGTCGTGGGTCACGGCCGCCTCGGGTAGTCTCATGCCATGCCGCTGCGATAGCAGGTTTGTGACGACCTGATAATCAGAAGTATGAGGTGTCGGCGGCCAGGCGACTGTGCCTGAGCCGTTCGCGTCGGCTCTGGGCGGTTCGGTGGCCTGGCGCGTGGCGAAAGCGGACTGCCGACTGCAGCCGCTCCCTGACGGCGGTGTGTCGGGCGCGGTCGCCCTGGCCCACGGCTGCGGCCACCGCTGGCCGAGCGCCGCCTGCGGTCGAGGCCGATATGGTTCTCGTGTGAGCCGGCCCGACCAAGCGCAACTGTCCGTCGTCGTCGGCCGCCGCCGACAGCGTTCTCGCCAGGGACGGCCCCGCGCCGCCCACGGCTCGGCCCGAGATCTGCCCAGCGCGTGGAGACGGGCTCTTTATCGACGGTGCGCAGACAGTATTTGTCATAGGCTTTGTGACTCGTCGCGTTAAGCCCTCAAACGTACTCTCAAGTACGTTTTTCGTGATGGGACGAAGTTGTTGTGCTCGCTCCGTTTGCTGAGACGTGTTCTCCTTGGTGGTGTGGAACCGTTACAAATTTTCAAGCTGTGTATGCAGAAATGACTGACAGGGGGCTTGGGCAACTACCTGGGGTGAATGGGCAGAGGAAGTGTGACATTGTCTTCCAGCTATTGTTTTTGGGTTATCCACGCTCTACTGACTTTCCGCTCCGCGCGACTTCGGTGCAGCATGATGGTGAAAACCGGGAAAAGTTTAAGGCAGGATCAGGTGGCTTCGGGTAAACGACAGGTGGAGGAAACGGGTTTTAAGCTTTATTGCTGCAAGGTTGTTGGGGTTGGACTGCCTTCTACTCATTGCTCGTTTGCCAGGATATCTTCACCATCGTTTTAGTATTGATCTTTATCGATGCATAGTAAAGAATGAACATGTAGGCTCAAACATCGGGAAATATTTATTGTTACTTGTGTATGTATTAGTACGTGTTGTTTCGATCAATTTTCACTCGACACCGCGCGTGCGCGCTGTCTGTGCCTGTGTCTACACATGGATTGGCGCATCGACGTGATTGGGTATGGTCGGGCGTCGGGTCGCCGTGGAGCGCCAGTGTTGCGCTAGGTAAGCCAGCCGAGTCTGCGGGCGCCGTGCGTGTTTATCCAGAGTTCTGGCAGCTTCTCTGGGCGTTGTGAGCGGGCCGGCTTCGGTCGGCCGGCGCCGCACCGTCCGCGGCCAAGGTGGCCCCCGGCAACGGCGCTGATTGTGGGCGACAGGCGCACCGCTTCAGCAGAGACTAGTCCCCGACGACGGCGGTGGGGTACCATCCCCTAATCAACGGTAGTCGGTGTGGGCATGATGTCTGACTGTTCGCTCCGGTAATGGTATCATCATGGACAATTGGTTGTACTGTTGGGAAATGTCAGCGCCAGCGTTGGTCGGATGCGATACTGGCAACTTGCAATCTTACAATTTACAAGGCTCTGGAATATCTTCCGTTCCTCGTCAGGCCACGTTACCAAAAGCTGTTGGCTCGGCCGTGCATCAAATCACTGGACAAATGCGTGAACACACTAACACATCATGATCACAAGAGCCAAAAACGGAAGTGACTCATAAAACACCAGATTTACACCGAAACAGGCTTGACAGGCGATTTGGCTTGGGTACCAACTAGTTGACAAACAAACGGTCAGCAACCGTTACCAAAAAAGAACGTAATTTACACGGAAAGGCGCGCGACCACAACTTATGAAATTGACGGTATCTTTCTCAGCTCGGCAATGTCCTGTGTGAAACCGAGCCAAAACTATGTGAAGATTAAATTTTCAACACAGCAGATATTGCATATCTTACATGGAATTGACCAAAGCGCGTGCGTACAAGAGCAGGTGTAAAATGTAGACATTCACCTCTCGTGTCACCCGTATAGCCGCCGAGCTGAGGAATCCCCGCCGGTCCGTGGGTGCATTCACTGCCGGTGTCGGTGCCCAGCCCCGTCGCGTGCCGACAAGCGTCTTCCAGCTGACGCCCGATGAGTTCACACGTGGTGCCGCGGGCGGCTCCTGCTCAACCCCAGCCTGCCACTGACGTCGTATGCTCTTTGCAGGCACTGGGGCGTTCCATTGAGGAAAGCAGAAGCTAAATGAGAGCCGCTGGGCATAATGTCAGGTGTGTCAGTGAACCAAGGCAAGGGGGACAAGAACTCCAAGTCAAAATACTCGGCGTTTAAAATCAACGATCTTTTTAAGGTAAGTATAATGCCCCATGGGCGCCATATGACCAACGTAGTCAGTGCGCCCCAAATCCCAAATAATAATCATCATTAAGTATAATGCCCAAAACACACGAAGTCATACCAGAGTGTGTCAATATAAGATTTGATTAAGTTCGCTGGCCTCAGTTTCTACTTGAGCGAAACCGCCGTTGCAGATTGTAAGTCATGTGACCAGTCCTGCAGCTTTGATCTGGTATGACAGGTTATATACGCTGCCAACGCACCCGACGCTCTGTCGATACCCACTCACGGCGCCTTGCGGTCACGGCATTACAGGGCAAGACGGAGATCCAGCAGCGGAACCCTATCACCAAGCATGGCTACCAGAGTTTGGGTAAAGTTGTGTCGACGCGCCGGATCCCGCCTCCTCCTAACCTGCCTAGGTGAGAGCCGAGGCGGTTACTCTCGCCGTCGGAGGGTGGTCGGCTGGGCGATGGCGGCACCGCCTTGCCCTTAGTAGTGACCTTACGTGACGTGGATTGCTCGGGTCGGTTTGGGGGCTGGAATTTGTGATGAGAATCATGCTAGAATTGGGCGTCGTATAACCAAGCAGTTGCGTTGTCCTAAAACTCAAATAAACAACAATGGCTGTCGTGAGTATGAAATGATTTGGTAAGATTTGCTTAAGTAGTGAATCTGAATTAGTGCTAACATTTGCTGAAATTTTGGGCGGGAGTTGCTGTTGTGTTGGAGGTTTTTGTTGTTCGCAAGGGTGGCTGGATAATTTCGTATGTTAGGTGTTTTTCGTCTTTATGAAAGTCTTCGGTTTGGGGGTACTGAAATAAAGTTTTGTTTTGCAGCCTGAAATCGGAGAACTGCGGAAACGACCCGAATATCAACCTCGTACCAGCTGGAGGTCAAGGATGGGGCTCTTCGAAGGATCAGCCCGGTTCGGGCTCGGAGCCGCCAGCCAAGCCGAGCGCACCGAGCGCCTCGGCGGCGACGCCGGCGCCAGCTGCAGCTGTGCCGCCGCCGACGGTTGTGGCGGCGGCGGGCGCGCCGCCCGCTGTGCCGCCACAGCCGCCCGCCGCGGCCGCCGTCGCGGCGGCTCGTGTCGTCGCACCGCCCTCCTCCGAAAAGTCCTGGAGCAGCGTGACCTCCGGGCCGCCAGACGCCGGGCCCGCGCCCTCCTACTTGGCGCACCAGTCGCCGTACTTCCAGCAGGAGTTTCCGTCGCTGGCGGCGGGCGACGCCGGCGGCGATGGGGCTGCGCAGAAGAAGCCGAGCTCGGGCCCGACGGTGGCGGCGGCGGCGGCCGACGGGCCGTTCGGGCCCGGCCCCAGCCTGCGGCCCACCACCGAGGGCAGCTGGACGCAGGGCGGCGGCCGGCGGCCGGAGTCGGCCGGCGCCAGTGTCGCGTCTGGCCGGGTGGAGGCCGGCTCGGCCAGCTCGGCCGGCCCGCTACACCCACCTGCGCAGCTGGGCCCGGCCGGCCCGCCCATGCGACCCATGGGCCCGCCCATGATGGGTCCCGGCGGGCCCATGCCGCCACCCTACCGCGGCGTGATGCCGCCGTACATGATGCCGCCGCGACCCGGCTTCCCCGGACCGGGCGGCTACCCTCCCAACTACCCAGGCCCGATGGGGCCGCGCGCGCCCATGTACCGCGAGCCGCGCGACCGCCCGCCGGCTGACCATCGGCCCATCATCAAGGCCGAGGACCTGAAGAGTTTCGACGAGATCGCCAACAAGCGCGACGACGGCTGGGCCGGCACCACGGCCGAGGTCGACTACAAGTGAGTGCGGGCCGGCGGGTGCGAGACCTGCGTGAGCGGTGTTCATGGGCAGGAATCGGCGATGTGTCTGCACACTATTCTTGGAGTCGGCCGTGGTGGGGCGAGGCAGGCGGGGGTGTTTGACACCGTGTTGTGGCTTTGTGTTTTACTGTGGGTGAATCGGTCAGGTGGCTGTTAAGGCTCTTAGGCTCCCGTGAATCATTACACTATCGGACAAAGGAATGACTCGTTTCGTTGGTACTGCATACTTCAGCCGTGGTGTGATATAGTGTGGTGCTCTAGCGGCTTTTCCCTGTGATGCGGTTGTCGCTGTTGGCCGCCGGCCTCTGAGAGCCGCCGCCGCCGTTCTCAGTAAGAAGCTGACCTTCTCGGATGACGAGAGCGAGCCGGATGACGAGCGTCGCGGCCGGGGTGGTGGCGGCGCGTCACGCGGCCGGGACCGGCTGCCGTCTGACGAGTTGCGCGCCGAGCCGGGCCGGGGCGGTCCGCCGCCGCGCGGGCCCGCCCCGCCGCACTGGGCTGGCCGCGGTCCTGGCGGTCCGCTGCCGTTCGACTACCGACCGCCGCCGCATCCAGGTGAGATCGGCCAGCCGACTGACCCGACGCCGTCACACCGGCCGGCAAAGGGCTGGGATCGGGCCTGGGCTGGATACGCTCGGCAAGGGATGCAAGGGTCGCGAGGGTGACTGAGGTGGTGCAGTTGACAGCAAATCAGTCTTCTAGTCGCGGGTGTCCTGCGCGTCGCGGGCATTTTTACTGCCAGATTGTATTATTGACATTTGATATTGTCATAATAGCAGTCATATTGTGGTTACCATACAGGCCATGATAGTAACTTTCGTGCATCACGTGCAGCTTTGTGGAAATGCATGGTTGGGTGGTTGGAATCAGACTGATTTCACGATTGAGTTGCTGGATTTCTGGTGGCGATGGCGTGTGTTGCGCCGAATGACCCGGCGGTCACGCTCCCGCAGGCTTCATGCCGCCACACATGCGCATGCGCGGCGGAATGCCGGGCTACATGCCGGGCATGCGTCCGCCGGGCCGTGGCGAGGACGAGGAGACATGGAAGCGGCGCCAGTCGGAGGAGGTGACCGTGGCAGTGGAGCGTGCCCGCCAGCGCCGCCAGCAGGAGGAGGCGCGCTACGAGCGGAGTCAGCTGGTGCGATCGGGCAGCCGCGACGAGGCGCCGCCGCCGGCCGACGAGGAGCGCGCCGGCCGCGTCGGCGGTGACGGCGAGCGGCGCCCGCCGGCCGCTAAGGAGGACGTGCCGCCGCAGTTCTCGCGCCAGTTCCAGTCTTGTCTGCCGCCGCGCTTCAAGCGCCAGCAGTCGGGCGGCGCCCCGCCAGCCGCAGGCGGCTACCGCGGCGGCGGCGGCGGCGGCGGCGGATACGGAGCCGACGGCCGTTGGGCCGGCTACGAGGAGCGGCCGCCGAGCCGCGACGCCGAGCGTCGGCCGCCGCGGCCGCCGGCCGACTACTACGAGTCGCGGGATGACGGGCCGCACGAGCCGCGCCACCGGGACGGCGAGCACGGCCGCCGCGGCCGCCACGACGACTACCGCGGCCGGCGCAGCAACAGCTCGACAGAGGCCGACAGGCAGGGGCCGAACACGGTCAGTGGGCGCCTGGCCGGAGGCAAACACGGCAGGCAGGGGCCGAACACGGTCAGTGGGCGCCTGGCCGGAGGCAGACACGGCAGGCAGGGGCCGAACACGGTCAGTGGGCGCCTGGCCGGGGGCAGGCACGGCAGGCAGGGGCCGAGTACGGCCATTGGGCGTCCGGCGGAGGCAGGCACGCAGATAGCGGCACGGCTGCTCCCGGCTGAACTGCGAAAAAAACTTCAGGTCGATGGCGTCCTGACCTGACGTCTTTATCGCTTCGAATTTAGGCTTCAGCCATGGCATGTTTTCGCCCAGTTGCCGAGCGATCACTCAGTCGAAGGAAGCGGCTAGCCAGCGTGGGGAGGTTGGAAGGCTGGACAAATGGACGCGTACGCATTCAAATAGTAAATCTTGACTGCACAAATTCGCTCATTCCACGATTGAGTTTGATAACAGAAGTTCACAGGTGCTTATTTGCTTGAATGAAAGTAAATGTCGCAGTTTTTGCAATCGCATACGTTTTTTCGTGTTCATATGACTGTACTTGCGTGCACATGTAAACCACCACACGTCGGGCTGGAAATCGTTCAGTACCACGGGGAAAAGCCTTAACATGGTTTTTTTAGCACAGCAAAGGGATAGGAAAGAGCAACTGGTTTCTAACGGAAAGATGCATTTGGTATCGCTCCCACTGGTCATTTTCCGAGGATTAGTAATTTTACAACATAGCGAGATGCCGCCCAAGGAGGGCTGTGGCTATTGCACCGTATGACAAGACCATGAGGGAATTTTCGTAGGCCTTGGAAAATTTACCGAGATAATTCATAAGACCGTAGTTTTAATTTACTTTGGGGAAATCTGCTTTGTTGTAGAAATTATGGCGTACATATCAATTGATACGATTCTGGGGGTATATTCTACACTTCGCACCCAAAGTTCAGCACGAAGTCGGCTGGCGGGCGAGCGACCTGTTGCTGGTTGGCTGGCCAACGGTGCGCGAAACCGGCTAACCGCAACCAACCCTGTTTGAATAGATATTTCACCGCCGCGAATTGGACGGACTGCAGTCTGCATCACTTGTCCTTCCCTGTAACTGGAAACCTGTAAAATATTTTGGTGTGTTGGAATCGCACTTTTGTCCTCTTATTTTAGCTGTAAAAGCTAATAATCTGACGGTTGCTTGCGCTGTCTCTCGATTGTGTGTTTAGCTCTGTGTAATTGTATCCTCTCTTCAGGCTGTCCAGAGGGACCCCTTTGAGGAGCGCGCGGAGCGCGGCAAGGCCGAAGAGCCGAAGAAGACCGATTCTTTCGACTATGCGGCCGAGGAGTACGACTACGGCGCTTCTTGGGCCGACCAGCTGGAGAGCGAGGTGCAGTCGCAGCAAAAGGAGCCCGCTGCGAAGCCGGCCGAAAAGACGGAGCCGGTGGCCGAGGCAACGGCCAGCGACTGGCGCTGGGAGCGGTCCGAGCGGCGCGGCGGCGACGCCGAGAAGAGCTGGCGCCACGGCAAGCAGCGCGACCAGGACGGCGAGCGGACCGACGCTCACGGTGACAGGCGCGACGCGCACGAGAAACGCGTCCCACACGAGAAACGAGACGTCTATGAGAAACTCGACTCACACGGGGACAGACGTAACAGCACGGATAGACGTGACACCCACGGAGATAGACGGGATGCCCATGGGGATCGACGAGATACCCATGGGGATCGACGCGATGCCCATGGGGATCGACGAGATACCCATGGAGATCGACGGGATACCCATGGAGATCGACGGGATACCCATGGGGATCGACGCAGCAGTCACGAGCGGCGCGACAACCACGAGCGGCGGGAGCATCGCCATCACGGGCCGACGCCACTCACCCGGGAGAAGCTGGAGGCAGCAGAGCGCGAACGGAACCCGAGCGCCGGCATGACGGCGCTCAAACAGGCGCCCGTCAAGCTGCCGCTGACGCTGGCCGTCAAGGCGCCTGAGGAGGGTGCCGACTGCGACGACCGGCCAGCTGTGCCCGTCAAGAACGCCTGGGCGGCGCGGGAGGAGTCTCGCCTGTCTCCGCCTAGTGCGGGCGCCGAGTCTGCCGCGCCGAGTGTCCCGACTCAGGCCCCGTCTGCGGCGGCGGCGGCGGCGACCGCAGCCGCGAATGCGACTGCGACCGCGATCACGACCACGATCACGATCGCGCCAGCCGGCGACGCTGTCAAGGAGGGCTCGCCGGTTCCCAGGGCGCCCACTCCGGCGTCAATGCCAAGCCAGGATTCAACTCCAACCCCGGCGGCTCCAGCTGCAACCACCGCCACCACCGTTCCCGCCCCTGAGCCAACGGCTTCGGCTCTGGCTCCGGCTCCAGCTCCAGCTGCGGCTCCTCCTGTGGCGGCGGCGGCGGCGGCAGAGGGTAGCGCCCCGGAACGGCCTGCCGAGCGACGTGAGCGCGGTGCCGGCCGCGGCGCGCGCCACGAAGGCGGCGGCGAGGGCCGTGCGCCACGCCACGAAGGCGGCGGCGAGGGCCGTGGCCCGCGCCACGAAGGCGGCGGCGAGGGCCGCGGCCCGCGCCATGAAGGCGGCGGCGAGGGCGGCCGGCGTGGCCTGGCCGTGTACAGGGACCGCGGCCGCGGCGGCCGCTACACCGGCAGGGGCGGCCGCGGAGGGGGTCGCGGTGCCTGGGAAGGTGACCGGTACGCCGGCCAGTCCCAGACCGGCTACGAGTATGAGAAGAAGGAGAGGAGACAAAGACGTGTGAGTCCCGCTGCTGGACGATGTCGCGCTCGATGGCTCGTTACTGCTCGGTGGTGTTTAATCATACCAAGTTTGGGACAAATGTACTGTGATTCTTCGAGCGTATTATTAGCATTTCGAACAGCAAGCGTTGGTTGCCCTTGAAGTAAGGGTGCAAAATCCTGTCTCAGAATATTTTGTCCAATAATTTTTTGTCAAAGTATGCAGTCGTCATACTGATGCCTTTACGCTGGTGCACTTGCTAAAGGTGCATTGATCGATAGATGTAGGACACCGTCGTATTGTTTGCAGAACATTCAATTAGGCTCATTTTAACTTGTACCGAAATGAATGTCATTTTCCAAATTTCTTCTCAGTGTGTCAGTTTTCTGGTTCTTGTTGCTTGTATGGAACGACGTGCTGATGCGGCGCGTTATTCCCGAATGCTGACTGTGCCTGTCGATTCGCCAGGATGACCGGAACAGCGAGAAGACGGAGCGCTACGACAAATATGAGCGCTACGAGCGGCGCGACCGGCCCGACCGTCGTCAGGAGCGCGCCGATAAGGAGGGCCGGCCCCGCCGCCAGGACGGTGGCGAGCCGGGCAAGGGCCGCGACCAGAAGGCGACGCGTGACGGTGAGCGGCGCGGGCCGCGTGGTGAGCCCGCTCGCGACGGCGGCGAGGCTGCTAAGAGCGCGTCTGCGCCCGCGACGTCGGCGACGGCCACGGCTGACACTAAGAGACCAACGGACGAGGCCAAGCCCGAAAACGACGACGCCGCTGCCACCAAACCGGAGAAGGACGAGGCCAGTGCGGCGGAGGAGCCACGGAGGCCTCCGGCCGGGGAGAACGGCATGGCTGACCGGGAGAGGGTGGCGACGGCCGAGGAGGCGGCACCGCCTGCGCCCGCCACCAGCCGGGACAAGCGGCCGCCGCGGGATGAGACGGAGGAGCGCGCGCCGGCCGGCCGCGGTGGGTATGTGCCGCGCGGCGAGCCGTCCCGCCGTGGCCGCGGAGGCTATGAAGGCGGTCGCGGTGGTTACGAGGGTGGCCGGTACCGAGAGGGCGGCCGTGGCCGGCGCGAGTACCGCTCGCAGCGCACGTACCCGCCCGCTGACGAGCAGAACGGCGACGGCAAGGCGGTCAAGTGGTCCAACCGCTACGACCAAGTGCCCCCGCGGTTCCAGCGGCATCGCGACGAGCAGGAGGGCGGAGCGGGCCGCGGCCGCGGCGCCTACCGTGGCCGTGGTGCGCGCGGCGGCGGCGGACGCGTGGGCGGCGCTGCACCGTCCGCAGCTTCCAACGAGCAGTCTGTGGCCGAGCCAGGCGCCGGCCGGCCGACTTATGCCAAACAGACCTCGGAGCAGACGAACGAGGACGGTGAGTGGGAGACCGCTTCAGAGAGTAGCAACCCGGACGGCCGACGCGCCAGCCGCACCGCCACTAACAAGGAGAACCGTGGCGGCGGTGGCGGCGGCGGCGGCCGCAAGACCTTCTCCGGGCAGCGGCCGGCCGAACAGCAGCGGCGGGAGCGGCGCGGCGGCGGGGAGACGGGCCGCCGCGGCGGCTCGAGCGCCCCGCTGGCCGCCGGCGACAAGCCGGGCAAGGTGGCCGACGTCGCCGGAACGACAGTGGGACGCGTGGACGAGATTAAGCTGAGCGATGTGGCCGGGGCGCAGCAAGCACTGAGCGACGTGTCCAGCAAGAAGGCGACAGGGGCCGAGAAGGCCACAGAGAAGAACAAGAACGGCTTCGAGAACTACGATCTGAACTCGGGCAGTGTGGTGATCGTGGACGACCACCCTGAGGTTTCTGAGGACCAGTTCCAGGAGGCGGAGGGCTTCCAGGAAGTGCTCAGCAAAAAGACGGCCAAGGAGCGGCAGAAGGCCCTTCTGGAAGAGCAACTTAAGGCGCAGAAACGCGAAGAGCGTGCGGCGCGGCGTGCTGCAGAGCGAGAGGTGGGAGTAGCGCGCGGCAAGCAGTATGAACGCTCCCGACAGAGCAAGCTGCCGCCGCGCCTGGCCAAGCAGCGCGAGAATAGCCGGCTGCAGAAGCAGTCGGCCGAGCCGCTGCCAGCTGCCACCAGCCTGGTTAACGCGCTACCCGAGGCTGACGCCGACTCGTCGGTCGGCCTATTCGGCATCAAGGGGTCGATCCCGGCGCCGGTGCCGGCCGTCAACGCCTGGGACAAGCCGATCACGGCGACGCTGCGCGGCGGCCCGGGCTCGGCCCACCTCAGCAGTGTGGACCCGGCCGCGCCCAGCCAACTGTTCGACGCTGGCGACGTGTCGGCCGTGGCGGGCTTCGCTTCCGACCGCAAGTCCGGCCTCGACGCCGCCAGCTTCGACGGTGCCAGCGTGCCGACCAAGACAATGATCTTCGAGAACACTAACTTCAAGAACAGTGGTAGCGCGCCCAAGCTGGCTGCCACGCACCGCGCTGACGCCGGCAAGCAAATGGAGGCGGAGAAGCGCTCCAAGCCTGGCCCCATCGAGCTGCCGCTCATGTTCAAGAACGATGACACGCGCGAGATGAAGCTGGAGTTCACCTTTGATTCAGACTTACCACTGCTGGCCGAGAAGGCGATGGTGACGCAGCCGGCGTCGCACGCCGCCGCCGCCATGTCGCCCGGCACGGCTGACCTCAACATGAAAATAGCCTCGGTGAAGAAGGTGTGGGACACGCCGGCCGTGCCGGTGCTGGCCGACCACCACGCCGAGGACCTGGTGAGCAGTGGCGGCGGCGGTGGCGGCGCTGCCGCCGCCGTCGCCGCCAGCGCTGGCGCTGACCCTACCGCCGACAAGGAGGCGCCGGCCGTGGCCGACTGGTCTGACAAGCCGGGCGCCTCGCTGGCCTTCCCGTCGGGCGCGGCCAAGGCGGCTCCCGCCGACGTTTCCGCCGCGTCGACGAACGTGTGCAAGGTGAAGCCGCAGCAGCTGCACAGTGCGGCATCGGTGTTCTCGCCGGCGCCGCGGGCCGCCGCCGGGCTCGGCATGTGCAGCGCGGCCGGCGGCGTGGTGGCGCCGGCGGGCGGCCTGCCCGCCGGCGGCGTGTTCCAGCCGGCGGCGCCGCTGGGCGGCATCTCGGCCATCCCGTCGCCTCCGGCCGGTGTGCTGTTCGGCTCGAGCCAGCCGCTGCAGTCGCAGACGCCCGGCCTGTACCAGCCTTTCCAGCTGGAGACGGCGGCCCCGCTGATGGGCCAGCGCCAGCCGTCGCAGTATTCGCAGTTCGCGTATGGCGTGGGCAACAACTCGTACAGCCAGCAGTCGCTGCTGATGCAGACGCCGCCTCCTAACCACGGGCCGACGGCTGACCTGCTGTCGCAGTACCGGCTGCCGCAGACCAATCCTTACGGCCAGACGGCTCACCACTCGGCCGGCCAGAACCCGCTGCTTATCAGCAGCTCGACCTCGCTGATGTCGGCCGGCGTCAAGCCGTCGGGCTCGCCGCAGCAGGCGCCGTCGGCCGCGCCTGGCCAGGCCAAGCCCAGCGCGCCCTACCACCAGCAGTCGCTGCAGTTTGTCCAGTATGACCCGACGCTGCTGAGCCAGGGCCTGAGTCCACACATGCTGGGCTCGCAGCTGCTGCCCCGCCAGCAGCCGGTCACGCCCACCAGCAGCTTCTACAGCGGCACGCAGACCTCGGCCTACTTCCAGGTATGCGGCCACCCGTCTCGAGGACGTTTACCTCCGTCTGTCCAGGCGACGTCAGTTTGGGCTGCTGTTTGCACGGGCTCTTGAGTATGTGGATAAGTTCGCTGAGTTGTAAGGGCTAAGTGCAGCAATGTTCTCTTCGACGTTTGCCTTTTTGTGGGAGAGCTTTTCATTGCACGCTTTAAAATGGGTTCTTGTGTTTTTTGCTTCGATGTCCAGTTTGGTATTGGGTATTCGTTGTCATTGTCCGCAGTTTTGTGCTCACAATAAATTCACGACTGTTTTGCTGTTATTAACAGGACAGGGACTTGTAGCAGTTGGTTCATTATAGTCGATTGTGTTGTCGCCGCGTGCCTCTTTTTGCTGCCATCAATGCGCAAGTGCCGACACCGGTCCGTATTAATGGACACCGGTGTTAACCGATCACTGGACCGCTCGCTCAGGGCACTGGCTCCGTGCAGCAGCCGGCCGGCCAGGTGCAGTCGTTCGGCCTGCAGGGCGGCTTCAACAGCCTCGGCCAGTCGACACAGAACATGAGCCTGGGCATGCAGCAGCTGCGCGCCGCGGCTGGTCTGCAAAACACTGCCTGGAAGACGGAGAACGTCCGCAACCTGATGACAAGTGGACTGAACAGCTCGCTGATGGCTGGCTCGCGCGCGCAGGGCCCCGGTCTGCACCCGCTGTCGCCGAAGCCGGCCGGTCCACCGGGCGCTGTGGTTCAGTATCCGCCGCCGCCGGCGGCTGCCACGGCGGCCGCCGCTGCCCTGGCCGTCCGCTCCCAGATGATGTCGCAGTTCCGCGGCGTAGGTGGCGCGCCCGGCGGCCCTACCGTCGCCGGCATGCCGGCCGCGCCGCGCTACCAAAACCCCATCCAGCGGCCGTCGGCCGGCCCGCCCGGCGGCGGTGGCGGCGGCGGTGGCAGCAGTAGCAGCAGCAGCGGAGGAGGGGGCGGCGGCGGTGGCAGCAAGTCGCCACGCCATGGCGCCGGGTCGCAGCGTCCCAACCCGAGCTCGGCTGAGCAGGCCAAGCTGCGAGAGGCGGCCCTGCAGTCGGCGCAGAGCTTCTTCCGCGGCGAGAACTCCGCCAGTCAGCAAGGTACTCCTGCGCGACGGGATGAGCTTAGTGGGTACAGACGGTCAACAGTCGGTTCATTTGCATGGTTGATCTGCGCGGAACCAGGTGGTAAAATCCCAGTCACGCCGTTTGCGACTTGATTGTAGGCATGCTATCCTGTCTTGGCTCCTTAGGGGACGTGCTTTGGCAGAAATCGTATGTAGGTGATCCGCCCTGAACGGGGGTCACCGCCTATAAGTTTGCAAGTACATGTCGGGTGTTCACATTTGACTGGTGCTTTCCTTTGTTGCAGCGAGATCGAACGTGTTCAGTGCACCGGACACGACACATACTGAAGGTAACCGATAGCGCTGTTTTCATCCAATTTGGGTTCTGTCGCAAGGACGAACTATCGGAGCCTTCCGTAGCATTCTTTGCGGCAAGCGTCCCTCACAGTTCCGTGGTTGGCCGTTTGCAAGTATCGCTGTGTTCGGAAGGACGGCACCTTTGTACCTCAGTCGTTACCGCCTCACAAGAAACGCGCGTTTGCCATATGACGTCAAAGCATGTTTCGTAGTTTGTTGATTCGTCTCGACGGGTGGTGCAAAGGTATGATACGCTTGAACTGATTGATACACGACTATCTGAATAGTCACTGCGCCCCGAATTATGTTTACGGTTGTCATGGTCGCCTAATGTGGTGACGTTCCATTTCAGCGCGATCCAATGCATTTGGGACAGACTCTTCTAATACTGACGGTAAGTTTATTTTGGGCTTACTTTGCATGCGTTGCCATCTCGCACCGTCGTGTCATGGGTATCCTGGGCTTTTCCTGGTGCAATACGTATTTTGTTCATGTTGCATTCTTTCTGCACACTGAATTTCTGTTGTTGTTTGGTTCACATTCCAACGTTGTCCGGTACTCAAGAGCGGGCTGCTGTTTCAGTCGGCAAGCCGCTGGAGACGTTGGGCGACACTGCGGCGGAGGCGGCCGCCGCACCTGATCCGCCAGCCCCGACTCCGGTGAGCCGGCCGGCGGCGGCGTCCCCTGTCGTCAGCCAGGAGTCGGGCGCCGGCGAGCCGTCGGCGGCCGGCACTGCCAGCCCGACCCCGGCCCCGGCCCCTGCCCCGGCCGCGACCCCGACCCCGACCCCGACTGCGCCCGCCGCCGAGCTGGCCCCGACCGAGGCGGCGGCGGCGGCCGACGCGGCCGGCGCTGTCGAGTAGCGCCGCGGCCTGCAGCTGCTGCCGCCCTGCGGCTCTAGGACGCGCTGACTGCGGATCCGAGGGAGAGAGCGTCGGTGGTGCCGACGCCTTCCCGCGCGCGCCGCCAAGTCGTGCGGCGCCAGCCGGGAGTCAGAGACGGTCGGATGGGGGGGTGGCGGGCTGCGGCCCCGCCCCTCCCCTGCTCTCCGGCACCGGCCGAAGCGGATAATACTCCCGAGTGTGCGCAGAGCCGGCCGACGACCGGGCATTTCACGCGCGGAGCTCGTCCGTGCGTGCATTTGTGTACACTGGAGCGGTCTGTTTCCGTTTGTGTACACAGTAGCGATCTGTTTCCGTTTGTGTGCACAGGAGCGGCCTGTTTCCGTTCTCCCCGTGTGTTTCGTCCGGTTTTAGCCTCCTCAGCATGTGAAGGCGCATAGCGAGGGGGAGCGCCCGGCGCGCGCGTGGCGAACGGCCGGATAGAGGGCCAGGGGCGACTGCCCCCCCCCCCCCCCCCCCCCGCCCCCGATAGCCGTAACGCAGGCCGACCTGGCCATGGCGCGGCCGTCAGGAACAGCAGGTGGTGCTCTTTCTTTCGGGGAAGTGGTAATAAATTGTGTTGACTGTGAGGAGCCGTTCTATAGCATTTGCAGGCTGCTATTATTTAGTCTGGAGAGCTGCCACTGGATCATGGGTGTTATGTGTCATTCATGAGAGGGCTTAACGAGTTATTCCACCTTGTAGTTCAAGCTCAAATCTTATTTCCTATTATTTCAATAAACTGAAATATTTTGTGTTTTGATTAAATGGACGTGGAGTCTACGCACCAATTCGTTTGTCACGGACCATCTGAACAATTCGCCTATACACGCGCGAATTACGTAAGTTGTGGTGCGCATCGCCCATCGAGAAACGACCATCCCAATGCTCATCTTCTCCCATTCTGCTCCATTTTCGTTCGACGGAATGCCCGATCTAGCGGAGTGCAACAGTTACCAACACATTGGCATGTTTGTTCAAAGGGTGGACGGCCCTTTACTGGACACTGGGCGTCAGGGACATCCTGCGCTACTCCGGGCACGTCAGAGTAAGGAACCATGTCCAAGCATGCCTCCACACAGAAGGCAGTCCCTGCAAAGCGAAGCAAGCTGGTGGGAAGTGCCCGGCTTCGAGACGGCGCGTGGTTTTCCGCACAAACGGAAAGATGTTTACCGATTGGAGCTAGATTAAAGTCACATGAGTTTCTATAACCTTATATAACCTCGTGGGACTTTTTGTCGGCGGAAGAGATTGAAGGCACCCACAAAACCCGGACGTCCTCGGCATCACCTAGTTCCACGAAACATTCGTGCTGAATTTTCCACGTGTCTCGCGGGTTCGTTCGCATTACTCTAAAGGGTTTTGAGCGCCGTGGTCGGCAGTCCGAGAAACAGGGCAGACTAACACACGACACGATGCCTTTTGGCAAATGTCTCGAGTATTTCTTCGGCGAGGTTCCTCACTTTATCACGCTGTCTGCGCGTTACCCGCACCTGACCAAGCTGACGATCGTGGGACAAGCGGAACTGACGTCACTGCGTGGCCTTGACACGCTGCCACAGCTGACGGAGCTGTGGGTGATAGAATGCGGCCTGCGCCAAATCAGCCATCTCGACAACGCCGAGAAGCTGGAGAAGCTGTACCTCTACTCCAACCAAATCCAGGTGATCGACGGGCTGAGCCGGTGCGTCTGTATCACCACCCTCTGGCTGGACAACAATTGCATCACCGAGGTGGCTGGGCTGCATCACCTGTCGGCTCTGCGTCAGCTGAACCTGGCGCAGAACAACATCGTCCGGTTCGCGTCAGTCGATTGGGGCGACTGCGTCGAGTGGCTCAACCTCAGCGGCAACCCGCTGCCGCTGACGGATATCCCTGCGCTTACTCAGCTGCCCCGGCTCAGTGTGCTGCACCTGCAGGATGGCATGTACCGGCCGGCGCCATGTACGCGACTGTGCAACTTCCGGCTCTTCTGCGTGCAATTGCTGCCGCGCCTGCAGCAGCTGGACGGGATGACCATCAGTGAGCATGAGCGGCTGGCGTCGAGCCGGCACCTAACTACGCGCCTTGTTTACTACCGCGCCCTCTGCCGGCACGTAGAGGCTCGCTGTTGTCAGCAGGTGGGTCATCTCTGGCAGGACTGGGACGTTTTCCTGGCAGCCATGGCGCGACGGCTGCGGCTGCTGCAGGCAAAGTGCCAGTTGGTGGAGGCAGCGGCGCGCGCGCCGGCCGCCGACGACGGCGCCGACCCGCCGGCCTCGGCCGAGACGCTGGACGCCTTTCGACAGGCCATCTGCCGACGCATGGAGTGCGTGACGAGCGTGGTGCGGGGCCAGGCGGTGCACAACAGCGAGCGCCTGCAGATGCTGACCAAGCGGCAGCGGCTGGTGCAGGCGCTGCTTGAGCTCGAGTATCGCACCGCTGGCAACATCCGCTGCGAGGAGCTGCACGTGGGCGAGGGCGCCGCCGGTGGCCGCGTCTCGGCACTAAACCGATACCTGGGCCGTGAGGGCATTTCCCTTCCGGCCGCCAAGAACGTGCACCTCCTGGCCATGTACAAGGTGAACAACCACTTCTTGGAGAATGTGATGGTGCAGTGGAGCGTTTCCGATTGTCTCGCGAGGGTGATGGACCGCTTCATCACCGCCGAGAAGGGTAAAGACATCGACTGGATCCTCGAAGTGTGCAAGGGAGACATCACGACTAAGGTAGCCGTCAGTACCGATTTGGACATCCCCGAGGAGTCCAACACGTCTAAGCCGCTGGCCAGCCTGCGGGAATACTTCGGATGTTTTCGTGAGGCTATCCTGGTACGAGTGCTTGCGCTACCGCAGGAGAAAACAGTACCGGCCAAGGTGCCGTCGTTCTTGCACCCTAGCTCGGAAGAGTTAGTGAACCGCCGCCTCATCCTCGCGCCCAAGCTCATCCTGCTGTACACCATCGGCGACGCGTGCAACGACCGTCCCATGGCCTGCCTGTCCAGTGCGTCCCTGGACGACGATCTGCTGAACTCGGTGTGTTTGCCGGACGCAGAGCTGCCCGCCCGGGAACTGGCCGGGGCGCCCCGTGAAGTCTTGAGGCCCAGCGAACCAAAGGGAGATCGCGTATGCGAGGCCGGCAGGGACATAGTGACCGTGAAAAGCTGCGAGTACGCCGGCCGCATTGCCGAGCTCGACCTTTCTTTCAACGAGCTGAAGACAGTGGAGTTCTTGACACACATGGTAAGCCTGAAGGCCGTCGACCTGCAATTCAACTGCATCGCCAGTGTAAAAGACATGCCCAAGCTGGTCAAGCTCCATTCACTGAACATTTCGTGGAATCGCTTGTCGAATCTGCCGGAAACGCTGCGCCGTCTGACAGTGGCGTGCCCGCAACTGAAGAGCCTCAACATCGGTTTTAACCCGTGGAGAATCTGTGAGGATCGTCAGGGTGTCCTGGCCGCACAGCTTCTTCCGGGCTTGCAAGAGCTGCAGGGACAAACTCTCTCATACCCCGGGAACACTGCGCCGACATTCAGAAGGCTGGAGTGCCCCATGGAAATCGGCGACCTCATGCTGTCGCAGCCCGTGCCGAAGACCATGACTGGCGGTAAGCTTGACCCGCGCAAGCTCACGGCTGTGTGTCTGAACGGCCAGATGCTTCATAGTCTCAAATGCATCCAAGAAATCCCGTTCCTGCAGAAGCTATCGTTGAATGACAACCATTTGTGCTCGCTGCAGGGCCTGGAGGGGTTCCCTCATCTCGAGTACCTCTCCGCCGACTTCAACGAGCTCTCCGACTTCCGTGGTCTGGCCACCTCCTCGTTGAAGCTGCGCTCGCTCAGCGTGCGGCACAACGGCATAGACAGTCTGGATAGTCTGGCGCCGGTCAGCCTGCCGCTGTTGGAGTTACTCGACGTCTCGGACAACCCGGTGGTGTCCCTGTGCGGTCTCGAGCAGTTGGCGTCGCTGACGGAGCTCTACGTGACCTCCTGCCGGCTGGAGAGGCTGGCGGCCCTGGTGCCGCTGGCTGCCTGCGGCCGTCTGCAGGCGCTCGACGCCTCGGACAACGCCGTGTGCGCTGAGCCGCACTACCGCCGCTTTGTCGTGTACAAGTGCGCCCCGCTGCAGATGCTGGACGGCAGCTGCGTGAGCGGTGAGGAGCGTGCCGATGCCGTCAGCATGCTGAGCGGCCTCCTTACGCTCGACCGGCTGCAGGAGACGCTGGCGGCGCCGGCTCTGCGCGCGCTGACGCAGCTCGACCTGCCCGCCTGCGGCATACGCCACATCGACCTGCCAGCTGACTGCCTGCAGCAGGTGGTCAGCCTCAGCCTGGAGGACAACGAGCTCAGTCTGCTGTCCGGCCTGCAGCAGCTGCGCCAGTTGCGCGTGCTCAACCTGGCGAACAATGCGGTGCGCCGGATGCGTGACGTCGCTGAGCCTCCGCCGCCGGCCGGCGCCGCCTGCTTCCCCGCCTTGCAGGTGCTCAATCTGGCCAGCAACGGTCTCGTCCGGTTGGGTCCGCTCCAGCTGCCAGCCCTGCGTGCCCTGAAGCAGCTCTTCCTGCAGGACAATCAGATCAAGATGCTCGACTGCCTGGCACCCTGCGCGGCGCTGCAGCTGCTCGTCGCTGACCGCAATCAATTGCAGGCGCTGCCGAATGAAACGCTGCCGTCGCTGGCCAGCCTGCGCGCGCTGCACGTTGAGGGCAACCGGCTGCGGCGGCTACCCACGCTGTGGCCACCGCAGCTGCGTGCGCTGTATCTGGCCAACAACAAGCTGAGCGAGCCGATGGAGCTGACACGGCTCAGCGGCCGGCTGGAGCTGCGTCGTGTCTCGCTCTACAAGAACCCGCTGACGCGTAACATCAAGTGGCAGGCGATCCTGTGCGCCTCGCAGCCCTCGCTCCAGGTGCTCAATGGCTCGCCGGTGACGGACGTCACCGGCTGCCGGCCAGGCCTCGACGGAGACGGCGACTCGGTCGACGAGGACGCTGCGGCGTGCGCCGCGTTGCGTGGCAACCGCAGCGTCTGGTGGCGTCCGCAGAGGTCCACCGTCTGGACGTACTCGTCCGAGTTCCGGTAGCGTCCAGTCGTCGCCGCGTGTTGAGCGTGGGTCCCCACCACATCGAGCTCCGACAGCGCGTGGCCGACGCCGCGTTGTTGGTGTGCCGCTGCACCGTTGATTCCGGCGCTTGTATAGCTGTGATCTTCTACGAACACGTCGTGATAGCAGCTGACGTTTCAAGGATTGTGGCTGATGTCGTGGTAAGGCATCGCAGGCTGAGACAGGGTCTGAATGGCAGGCTGGGACAAAGCCGGAGCCTTGCTTGCCGCTTAAGTGTAAGATTTGGCAACACTTTGGAAGTTCATGGGGTATTGAGATTGACCACACGGTACACGCATTCCTCGGAAATTGTCACACAGCAGTGTTCAATAGAGAATGTGATTGACGATGAATAATACAACAGCGCGTGACGTCACCGGCTGCCGGCTGTAATCGCAGGCTGAGGTGGGTCCTGAGGTGCTCTAGACAGCTCCCCAACGCGCCAATTGATCAGCGCTGGCGATCTGGCCACGTCCACAGTGCAATGACCGGGATTATTGGCTCCCTCCGGAAGACGCGTTCCTGGGCGCACTTATCGCGCTGTTACAGGCGTGACCCTTGGTTGCCTGGACATATTCAGCTGCTTTGATTTCGCACATGTAGCCGCCTGTCAGCAGGTCAACGCATGTTGGATGGTTCGCACGCGACGCTTGGCCTACGAGTATAGTAAAACGCGTGGGCTTTTTAATATATCTGAAAGGGGACTGTCCACATTTAGAGATATTGAAGCAAACAGCCATGGTGAAATAAGCTCACTTATAGCTATTGGTATTCCTTTAAGTGGGAAGTACTGCTCTACAGCACAGTCTCTTTATTTAGTGAAATGCCCCCCCCCCCCCCCCCCCTCCCAATGTGCCTCCGTTTGGTTGCGTCATCTCTATGGACGTGTAGCTCAGAAACTAGGGGGTTTCATGCATTGAGAAGAGCAGGGCTGTGAACCGCAACGAATGATGTTCAAGGTAGCTATTTCCATTGACGCGTTTTTTGAATGATGCTTTTATGACGTCATGGATGCCCAGATGACCCGGCTTTGGTTTTGACCGGATGGCCTGGTTCTCCATGCATTTTGCCACTGAAACAGCGACTTTCCAAAACAGTTACTGCTGACACGACGCAGGCAAAGCATCTGGGATTCGCTTGCAGAACCCATTCAGCAACAGGTGACTATTATGATTAATCTTCATTGTCGTTTATGATGCCTAAAATCTCACCTCTCATCTTCATCGGACTCTAGAGGTCAGGAGGTCAGACTCTACGGGCGGGGCCGTGCCCAATGTGACCGCAGCCAGTTCTTCGGGCCATCGGTCCCTCAGCCTTCCAATCAGGTCATTGATCTTTGGTCTAAAGGGGCCCTTCGGCCCCTCCTCGGGCCTCTTCAAATAAAGGTCGTGACCGACTCGGGGCCACTTGCCGACACATAACGTTCTGTAAGGCATTTTGAGCCTCTGGTCAACACAGGGACCCCTCATTGTTTACGGGGCCGGGACAATGCAACTTGCGGGTCCAGCCCTCGCTTCTGTCAGGGAAATGGGCCACCAGGGTCCAGACCGATATGGCGCCAGCTGTTCGATGCTGGTGTTGCCTGTCCGACAAAGAGGCTCATATCGTCTCAGGAGGTTCTCAATCGGTGCGAGAGGCCTTCTGACAGATATTGCAGGTTACAGACCTACGGACCGCAATCCTTCATGTGACCTTCAACCAGCTCTTCGGGCCCTCATGCCTTCCAATCGGACCCTTTATCGTCGGCTCCGGAGTGCTCCTGGCACCTCTTTGGGGCTCGTCGAACACTCTTCGGAGGCCTAGCTAGCTAGCCTCTCTTCTCTTCCAAATCGCCTCTGTTAAAGATGCTGATTCCTGTATCTAAAACGCGTTGTTTGGTGCACTATTTTGGTTCACATCCGGGAAAGGGTTGTGGAAGAACGCAAACGTAACCACTATGAAAATTTAAACATTCGATAGCTTTGGATAATGTAAGGCGGAAATCGTCATGAGCTGCACGCACCTTAAGAGACAGTTCATGTTCGCAACGCAATAATTACCCGATAAATCAAGGCGTACCCTGCACATTAAATGATTATTTAAAACTACGTTCGCAAAACAAAATAGTGCGCGTTGGAAGACTTGTTCTCTACAAATACGAAGGAGAGCACGCGCTTAAACCAGTCGTCATCCTAGCACTATTTATGCAACAGGAGCGCCAGCACAGCACGCCTGCAATACCAAACCAGCTGTCATCCACGTACTATTTATGCGAAAGGAGCGCCAGCACAGCACATCTGCAATGTCAAACAGACGAGATCCGTATGTGCACGTGTACATGGCACACATGACAGAACCAGGATAGTCCGGTTCACTTGGCGATATCGCTCAATAAAACTTGTAGCTTTACAATGAAACAAGGTGGTTTGTACGCGTACAAATGTGGCACACTGCAAGGCAACCCGTTTTTTTTTTTTGCTGTTGTTTTTGCACAACTCGCTGATACTTGAGGCACAGCACGCGTCGTCACTGACATTACCGCTGAACGCTCGGCGGCTGGCTGCGTGTGTCACTGGGGGACAATCACAGTTCCATGCGAAACAATACGATCTAGCGGGCATGCTTTACATTGGCCACGAAGACACTAGCATGCGGTTGTCACACTTTTCCTGCTTAAAAGGGAATGCTCCGCATTTGAAGATATCATTAAATAAGCTCACATAAGCATTGGTACACTTTTGAGTGGAAAAGACTGCCCTAGACGACACGGTTTCTCTGTTTAGTCAGTATGATCCTCAATACGTCAATGTTTGATTACGTCGTCGTGCCTTGCACAACATCGATTATGAGCCAATTCAGGGTCAACATATCTGCAAATCGTGTTCACGAATGACGACATGAACGACTCGACAACTTGATTTTTATTGGCATTAATTGCCGCATGACCAGTGAAGTGGAACTTCCATGACGTAATTATAGCGTCATGGATGCCTGGGTGATCTTGAAAAAAAACTCCAAAAAGCCCGCACATCTTCGCGGGCATTTAGGTCAGAAGCTAGAGGTTTAAGGCCTTTAGAAGGGCAGGGCTGTAAACTGCATGAGCTGATCTGCAAGATGGCTATCTCAGTTCAAACGCCGCACAAATGTGGAACACTCCCTTTAAAGGAAGTATTATACACGTACGTACAGACGAACACCCAACGCCATTCGGTTCAGCACAAATCCAGGACCGCCGCGGGCGACCTCTCGGGAAATTAAACGTTCCGTGGCGTAATCAAACAATGACGCATTGACTAGCTCATTTACCAAATGGAGAAATTGTGTTATCTAGAGCGGCCTTTTCCGCTTAAAATATACCAATAGTTATGGGTGAGCTTATTAATAACTAATATACCAATAGTTATAGGTGAGCTTATTTCATCAGATATGCCGCTTGCCCCAGTATCTTGAAACGCGGAACATTCCCTTTCATAATTGTCAACTAAATTTCCATCAAAACGTGAGACAAAAGCGTTCTTATCTTGGGCATTGGCTGCGGCAAGTTCAGTTCAAGAACATTTGGCGTCTCGCTTCACCATCACCACGAGCAAAAGCAACAGGTGAACGGCCGAACTAACGCCAGCCAATGGCTACTGCGTGCCTCATCTACCGTTGTCTGGCGGGAGTTCGAACCAAACTCTGTAACATGTGCAGCGGTTACAATCCAACATCACCCCATCGACGTCCCATTAACAATCCAATAACAATGCTTCGCAAACAAAGGCTTCGCACATACGGCCCATGGTTTCAATCGGACCTCGTGTGCGCAATGTTGTAAAATTCCCCCATGTACATTGAGGTAAACCCATAGTTAAAAGAGATTGAACAAACATGGCTTGTGCTATGCAAAATATTCACTTTCAACGCAGTCTCACAAAGCTACCAATTAATCATCGCGGCAGTAAAATGGTCGGAGACGCAGCTCAGCCGGTTCCCACCAGCGTCGGGCACCTGCACGCATGGCGTGTGGCCCCAGCCGACGCGGGGCCCGCTCAGTCGAAATGGTACTGGTCCTCGGCTTCCCAGTCGATGCCGCTCTTCCTGATGAGCGCCTCCGTCATGGCGCGCACCGTCTGCAGCTGCGTCGCCATCAGCCGCACCTCCTGCTTGACGCCGCGCAGCTGGGCGATAGTCGTCTCCTGCGCCTGGTCGGCGCCCACCTGGCGGCACCCCCGCGTGGCGACCCACGTCAGGCGACAGCCAGCGGGGCACCGGCGTCACGATACGTCACATGGGCGCAAGAGGGCAGGCCACGGGGTGCGAGGCGTCACCCGGGTCCGCCCGGGAGTTTAGCGTTAGTGGAGCGCATGCCATGGATCACCGGGGAACACACCAGACATAGCTATGCTCCGCATGGTCCCCAGCGGACAGGAATGGGCTAGGGAGAGTCAGCAGAAACGGACGAATGCTATGATCGCTAAAATGCTATGGATCAAATGATCGCTAAAACGCGGCCTGCCAGCCTGTCAGGACGTCGGAGGAACGGAAGCCCTCACAGAAATGTCGTGATGGCAGGAGCGGCACCGCCCCAGGTCAGCTATTCCGTTAGCGGACAGCGTCACCGCAAAGGACAAATCAATAACGACCGTTCGGCTGATGGTTAACACGCACCTTTTCCGCGTCCTGGATCAGCTTCTCGGCCACCTCTTTCATGGCGAAGTCGCCGCGCCACAGCTTGGCGATGAAGTTTTTTCTACGTTGGTTGGGATACACCGTCATGTTGCGCATGGTCAGCTTGCGCAGGATAAAGTCGGGCACGATCGACTCCACGTCCAGCACCAGCTGCACCGTCATCGCCAGCCGCTTCAACGAGGCCTGGTCCTGCACAGACTTGATGTCGTCCACGGCTAGACCCACCTGGGGGAGAGTCGTATGGTCGCTAGCGGTCGCAGATCACTGATGATGGTGTCGCCGACACGTGCTGGCCCAGTAAGATCATTGACGGTGGAAATGTAGTCCACTCACAAGTATCCGATATGTCACTACTGCTTTATGAGACAATGCACGCACGATATTCCAGTCACTGCAGTATGCGTTGATTTCCTGGCACTTTTCCAATGAAAATAACATTAACTTTGCAAAAGGCGTTCATAGCGATCTCCGACAAGATGTGACCTTTTGGTATCAACAATATACACCGATTATTTCACTCACCAACAAGTTCATGATGATGATGGACATCAGGATTAAGAACGCGACGAATAAGGTATAGGTGACACCAGGAAAGTGCACGCTTTCCTCGCCGTCGAAGATAGACCCATAATCCATCTCTCCAATCATCATCACAGAAGTCTTTAGCAAGGACTTCCCCACCGTTGAAAATGCCACCTGGAAGGAAACAACGCAGTATGGGTGCATTCCGCTGCTCGTCGGGTTCTCGCTCGTTATCGCACGGACAATGGTGATGACGTAAGATTAATGAGACCTAACAACAATGTGTTACGAAGTTCATACAAGGCACTCAAAATTAATTTCTCACTATGTTCATAAGTAACTTTCCTTACAATAAGTCGATAAAACGTTGGCGAAGTCCCCACTTCATCACAGTTGTCAAAAGTCGACAGTCATAAAAAACGACAGTGATTGAAGACGAATTCGAAAAAGTCAAAGGAAAGTCGAAACGGACAGGAATCAACAGAGATAAAAGTCGACACGGAAAAAACCAGGAACAAAAAATCGAAAGAGACAAATTCAAAACAGTTACGGCCGACAGGAATTAAATTCGAACCGAAAAAAATTGAGAAAAAGAACAAAGGGATAGGTGTCAGCAGATACTAAAAGTCAAATTGGAGAAGAATTCAAGCGACCAAAAGTAAAGTGGAATAACAACAAGTGAGCAGGTAGGGAAAACAGGAGAATCACCAGGATCTAACGCCTGGCAACAGAGATAAGGCTGGGACCGCATGCAGGTGATCCCCTCGTCATGAGGGCCGTTAATGCCGCCAGGGACCAAGGAGTGTCCTGAGGCATGAGTGGCCATAACGGGCATGGGCCGCGCTAATGAAGGCGTCTGTAATTGACATTCTCATGACAAAGTATATTGGGCCCAAACGGAAACCAAGGTCAGCTACTCAGGTGACGATTATGACCACGGGTTAAAAGGGTGCTTCGGCTTCAAAAAAAAAACCGGAAACTGGCTTGCATGGATGGCTTTGGCTCAAAATGCGTGCTAAGAATAGTTTGCTCTTTTTGCTCCATGAGCCCACCACCCAGTACATCATGCAACTCCAGTTGCATACGCAGCTTTGCCTCCAGCCTCTTTCGTCAGAAAGGAAAGCGGTCTTCTCTTTTCGTGCTTCACAATGTGGTGGCAAGGATGGGCCGCTTTAGAGTAGCAAAACACTGTGCTGCTGCAAAAATTAAGTACAGAAGTCATAATCGATGAACAGTTAGGAGCGCACATGGAAGCTGCCTGCTGTAAAGACAACCATGGTCTCTTTGGATACAGTTGCAGGTTGTTTATATGGGTTTGGGAAGAGGCTGAATGAGGACTGCTACATTTCTTAACTGTCCACCTATCGACCGCAAAATTATTTTCCGAGGACCAAATGCGGCAGCGCATTCAAAGCAAGGTTTGCGAGTCGGCCGACGTTCTTATGATCCTATTACCTTTGACAATTTTCAATTGGCTTCTATTTATGTCGGTCTGTCAGAAATATAAATTATCGGCTTCTGGCAGTGCTGACTTTTTTGACTGTTCCTTATTTTGGTTTCTATCCCTTTCAACTTTTATGCTTGTCGACCATGCGTCTTTTAACTTTTTGTCTTCAATTCGACTGTTATCCCTGTCGAATTTTCGTCGATTGAACTCTTTCCAATGTGATTGTTGTCCTTGTTCCCATTAGCTGTTTGTTTTTCGAATGTGTTTGCTTAATCAAAATTTTATCCCCACCGACATACCGAATTTTTCTTGTTCGATTTTTTCCCCTTGGATTTGTTCCATTCGACTTACTGACCGCCCACACTAATTCCGTAGCTCTTGATATCACCGGCAACATACAGTCGGCGCATGAAGACAGCGGCACTGGTGTTTCCCCTCAGACATTTCACTAGAGTATGCGATGTGAGAGCAAACGTCACAAAAGTGCGACAAGCTTGGGCAATGCACCTAAGCAACTTCTCACCTGATTCTGCAAAAGAACGAAGAAGGTTATGGCAAATGCCGTGATGAATAAGAAGAAGACGAGGAAGAACTTGGTGAACGTCGAGAGAACGTCGGTGAACATGACGACGTAGATGCCAAACACGGGGAACTTGCGGATGAAGAGCAGCAAGTTCATCCAGGCGAGGAACACCGCAACAGCTCCGACCTTCCACTGCCAAACCTGCAGCCGAGATCACACAGAATCATGGGCGCGTGCCAGGTTATTGCATGCAGTGCACACGCACAGACGCACAGAGTCAAAAACGAGTATCAGGAGCAGGCTGTGAGATACTCAAGAAACATTTCAAAAAGTGGGGATTAAGCTCAAGAAACTTTATTTCGGGGGAACCTTTACTGCAGACGCAAGCGCGGCGACCTGAAGAGTGGGAAGGGATGGAAGCCGTCCGCTCTTAATGAAAGACACTTTTTGGAGAGAAGTAAAGGCTTTAAGTGTCATATAAACAAGGTCGCTTTCCCCTCGTGCGCCAATTTACCTTCTCCACTCGTTGTACGCTATTCGGCACACAGGTTATCCAGTTTCATGAAAATATGTTTGGGTGTCAGCAATATTTATACTCGGGAGGTAAATTCAACGATCGGGTGGGCGTTTACGCTGTCTGGCGAGGTAAAGGCCTCACCAGTTCACATGATGAAATTGAGGTTCGGGCCCAGGCCGGTCAAAATTTCAAAGTTGAATCCATGGCTTAAGTACCCCAAAATTTATGAAGCGCCTGTGTTTCGACCATTAATTTTTCAGGAAACCATTTTATCGCAGCATTTTAGACAGACAAAATTCAAGCCATCGGACATGGTCTTAATGGTGACAACGGCCTAATCAGGGAATGAAGATCATTATTTTTAACTTTCTCTACCAGAGTACAGCTCCTGCCCGTCGTCGGCTCCGACCGCTCTGACCCAGCTGCTGCCCCTCATCTGCGGCAACCGCCTCGAACCTGCTCCTGACCCTCGTCGGCGCCGAACGCTCTGACCCAGCTCCTGCCCCTCGTCGGCGGCGACCGCTCTGACCCTGCTCCTGCTCCTCACACAAACTCGGTGACTCTAGTGCCTACCAGTCGGATGCCGGTGGCCCGGGAGCACTGGTCGAAGTCCCAAACCAACAGCAGCGCGCAGACGTAGCAAGTCCACTCCAGCATGTTGTTCCAGCCAAAGTAGTGCCAGCGAGCCTGTCAGCAGTGCCAGCGAGCCTGTCAGCAGTGTCATGCGAGCCTGTCAGCAGTGCCAGCGAACCTGTCAGCAGTGCCG